GATCATTTGGACAATTGATCACTGGACAATTGATTATTGGGATGATTGATCATTGGACAATTGATCACTGGACAATTGATCATTGGGACAATTGATCATTGGACATTTGGGTCCGGAAGGGGGGAGGGGGGTAATTCGAAGGTCAAAGTCTAGGTCAAAGTCTAAGGAAGCCTATGTCTAGTGCCCTACTGTCTACACCTATTGAATAAGAACCCGTGCCTTTGGATATAACTGGCAGGTATGAAAGCCTGAACCTATGGAGAGGATTCTTTAAAAAAGGGGGGTCGGTCAGTTCAGTGCGGGATTTTCAGTGTCGGTCATTTTGGTGCCGGGTTTTCAGAGTTTGTTCCAGAAATGGAGCAAATTCTGGAACAAAACGTTTTTGGGGTTTGTTCCAGAAATGGAGCAAATTCTGGAACAAAAAAATGTGGGACGAATTGGGGTGTGACGTTTTGTCTTTGGGACGAATTGGGGTGTGACGTTTTGTCGGTGGGACGAATTGAGGAGTGACAGCTTGTCTGGGACAAATTGGGGGCATTTGGAGTTTGTTCCAGAAATGGAGCAAATTCTGGAACAAAACGTTTTTGGGGTTTGTTCCAGAAATGGAGCAAATTCTGGAACAAAAAATGTGGGACGAATTGGGGAGTGACATTTTGAATGTGGGACGAATTGGGGAGGGGACATTTTAGTTCGAATTTTTCGAGGAAAATCTCAAATTTTCGAACTAAATTTTTTAGTTCGAATTTTTCGAGGAAAATCTCAAATTTTCGAACTAAATTTTTGGTTGTCATTTGGGTCATGTTCAGTTCGGTCAGTGTCATTTGATCATTTGTCAGTTCGTCAGGGTCATTTGGGTCAAAGAAGGGTCAAATCAAAGGCCTAATCAACGTCTAAGGAAGCCTATGCCTAGTGCCCTACTGTCTACACCTATTGAATAAGAACCCGTGCCTTTGGTATAACTGGCAGGTATGAAAGCCTGATCCTATGGAGAGGTCTTTTAAAAAAGGGGGGTCGGTCATTTTTGGTGCCAGATTTTCAGTGCGGGATTTTTAGTGTGGGACAGTCAGGGACAATTGGTCATTGGACATTTGGTCACTGGGACATTTGGTCACTGGGACAATTGATCACTGGACAATTGATCATTTGGACAATTGATCACTGGACAATTGATTATTGGGATGATTGATCATTGGACAATTGATCACTGGACAATTGATCATTGGGACAATTGATCATTGGACATTTGGGTCCGGAAGGGGGGAGGGGGGTAATTCGAAGGTCAAAGTCTAGGTCAAAGTCTAAGGAAGCCTATGTCTAGTGCCCTACTGTCTACACCTATTGAATAAGAACCCGTGCCTTTGGATATAACTGGCAGGTATGAAAGCCTGAACCTATGGAGAGGATTCTTTAAAAAAGGGGGGTCGGTCAGTTCAGTGCGGGATTTTCAGTGTCGGTCATTTTGGTGCCGGGTTTTCAGAGTTTGTTCCAGAAATGGAGCAAATTCTGGAACAAAACGTTTTTGGGGTTTGTTCCAGAAATGGAGCAAATTCTGGAACAAAAAAATGTGGGACGAATTGGGGTGTGACGTTTTGTCTTTGGGACGAATTGGGGTGTGACGTTTTGTCGGTGGGACGAATTGAGGAGTGACAGCTTGTCTGGGACAAATTGGGGGCATTTGGAGTTTGTTCCAGAAATGGAGCAAATTCTGGAACAAAACGTTTTTGGGGTTTGTTCCAGAAATGGAGCAAATTCTGGAACAAAAAATGTGGGACGAATTGGGGAGTGACATTTTGAATGTGGGACGAATTGGGGAGGGGACATTTTAGTTCGAATTTTTCGAGGAAAATCTCAAATTTTCGAACTAAATTTTTTAGTTCGAATTTTTCGAGGAAAATCTCAAATTTTCGAACTAAATTTTTGGTTGTCATTTGGGTCATGTTCAGTTCGGTCAGTGTCATTTGATCATTTGTCAGTTCGTCAGGGTCATTTGGGTCAAAGAAGGGTCAAATCAAAGGCCTAATCAACGTCTAAGGAAGCCTATGCCTAGTGCCCTACTGTCTACACCTATTGAATAAGAACCCGTGCCTTTGGTATAACTGGCAGGTATGAAAGCCTGATCCTATGGAGAGGTCTTTTAAAAAAGGGGGGTCGGTCATTTTTGGTGCCAGATTTTCAGTGCGGGATTTTTAGTGTGGGACAGTCAGGGACAATTGGTCATTGGACATTTGGTCACTGGGACATTTGGTCACTGGGACAATTGATCACTGGACAATTGATCATTTGGACAATTGATCACTGGACAATTGATTATTGGGATGATTGATCATTGGACAATTGATCACTGGACAATTGATCATTGGGACAATTGATCATTGGACATTTGGGTCCGGAAGGGGGGAGGGGGGTAATTCGAAGGTCAAAGTCTAGGTCAAAGTCTAAGGAAGCCTATGTCTAGTGCCCTACTGTCTACACCTATTGAATAAGAACCCGTGCCTTTGGATATAACTGGCAGGTATGAAAGCCTGAACCTATGGAGAGGATTCTTTAAAAAAGGGGGGTCGGTCAGTTCAGTGCGGGATTTTCAGTGTCGGTCATTTTGGTGCCGGGTTTTCAGAGTTTGTTCCAGAAATGGAGCAAATTCTGGAACAAAACGTTTTTGGGGTTTGTTCCAGAAATGGAGCAAATTCTGGAACAAAAAAATGTGGGACGAATTGGGGTGTGACGTTTTGTCTTTGGGACGAATTGGGGTGTGACGTTTTGTCGGTGGGACGAATTGAGGAGTGACAGCTTGTCTGGGACAAATTGGGGGCATTTGGAGTTTGTTCCAGAAATGGAGCAAATTCTGGAACAAAACGTTTTTGGGGTTTGTTCCAGAAATGGAGCAAATTCTGGAACAAAAAATGTGGGACGAATTGGGGAGTGACATTTTGAATGTGGGACGAATTGGGGAGGGGACATTTTAGTTCGAATTTTTCGAGGAAAATCTCAAATTTTCGAACTAAATTTTTTAGTTCGAATTTTTCGAGGAAAATCTCAAATTTTCGAACTAAATTTTTGGTTGTCATTTGGGTCATGTTCAGTTCGGTCAGTGTCATTTGATCATTTGTCAGTTCGTCAGGGTCATTTGGGTCAAAGAAGGGTCAAATCAAAGGCCTAATCAACGTCTAAGGAAGCCTATGCCTAGTGCCCTACTGTCTACACCTATTGAATAAGAACCCGTGCCTTTGGTATAACTGGCAGGTATGAAAGCCTGATCCTATGGAGAGGTCTTTTAAAAAAGGGGGGTCGGTCATTTTTGGTGCCAGATTTTCAGTGCGGGATTTTTAGTGTGGGACAGTCAGGGACAATTGGTCATTGGACATTTGGTCACTGGGACATTTGGTCACTGGGACAATTGATCACTGGACAATTGATCATTTGGACAATTGATCACTGGACAATTGATTATTGGGATGATTGATCATTGGACAATTGATCACTGGACAATTGATCATTGGGACAATTGATCATTGGACATTTGGGTCCGGAAGGGGGGAGGGGGGTAATTCGAAGGTCAAAGTCTAGGTCAAAGTCTAAGGAAGCCTATGTCTAGTGCCCTACTGTCTACACCTATTGAATAAGAACCCGTGCCTTTGGATATAACTGGCAGGTATGAAAGCCTGAACCTATGGAGAGGATTCTTTAAAAAAGGGGGGTCGGTCAGTTCAGTGCGGGATTTTCAGTGTCGGTCATTTTGGTGCCGGGTTTTCAGAGTTTGTTCCAGAAATGGAGCAAATTCTGGAACAAAACGTTTTTGGGGTTTGTTCCAGAAATGGAGCAAATTCTGGAACAAAAAAATGTGGGACGAATTGGGGTGTGACGTTTTGTCTTTGGGACGAATTGGGGTGTGACGTTTTGTCGGTGGGACGAATTGAGGAGTGACAGCTTGTCTGGGACAAATTGGGGGCATTTGGAGTTTGTTCCAGAAATGGAGCAAATTCTGGAACAAAACGTTTTTGGGGTTTGTTCCAGAAATGGAGCAAATTCTGGAACAAAAAATGTGGGACGAATTGGGGAGTGACATTTTGAATGTGGGACGAATTGGGGAGGGGACATTTTAGTTCGAATTTTTCGAGGAAAATCTCAAATTTTCGAACTAAATTTTTTAGTTCGAATTTTTCGAGGAAAATCTCAAATTTTCGAACTAAATTTTTGGTTGTCATTTGGGTCATGTTCAGTTCGGTCAGTGTCATTTGATCATTTGTCAGTTCGTCAGGGTCATTTGGGTCAAAGAAGGGTCAAATCAAAGGCCTAATCAACGTCTAAGGAAGCCTATGCCTAGTGCCCTACTGTCTACACCTATTGAATAAGAACCCGTGCCTTTGGATATAACTGGCAGGTATGAAAGCTTGAACCGGGAGATTTCTGACAATTCGATAAAAGTGGTATTAAAAGTACCATCTGGAATTCATCTGGGAGTTTCGTTAAACATAAGTTCAGAATTTTGAAAAAAAGAGATCGTCAAGTTGGATTGCTTTTGGAGTGTAAGAGTGTCTGAAGCTCTCGGAGCTTGGAAAAGTTTGGTGTTGGGTAAACCCTTGGCGGTAGAGGGGGGACCCCTAACCCATTTTTAATCAACAAAAAAATAATGTGATAAAAAATACCACTTGTAATAAAAAGGCCTTTTTGCTTTCTTCTAAACGAATCCGCAAAAATCCTTTTTTTACAAGTGGCTTAATTGTGCTTTTCCGTTTTTCCATCTAAGAATTTTGCTGTCTTGATAACATTACATATGTACTTGAAAAAAATAAAACAAAATATATCGACGCAAACGGAAAAGCACTAAAAAATAATAAAAACATTTCAGTCAAATATCTTTTAGACCTTTAAATGTGGCGGAAGCATCTTTGCCACATTTTTAGCTTCTCTCATCTTTTCAATTCATCATCAATTTGTTGCAACCAATGCTCATTTTGAATACTTCCCACAAAAACGCTTGTCTTGCTGTAGCTGCAGATGTTTCAGACCTTCATCCACAAACGTACTAGCAGTGTTTGTTGTTGAAGCACACATCTGCATAATACCTTTAAAATAAAAATGCAAAATTTAAGAGGAAATTTTTTGAGGCCAACAGCATACCCAGAGTTAATCCCCAACGAAACACCTAATACACTCCCAAGCCTATCCAAATACAGTCAATCCCACCACAAAAACCGACCATCAGCATTGCTCCCAAACCACCCCAAGACATTCAATTAATGCCCCAGCTCATCTCTGCCTCCATCCCCCACCAAAACAGTCCGTCACATCCCCAAACAAAACATCTAATCCCTCAAACAAGAAAAACCATACCCAGAGACACTCAAGCAAATCCCCCAAAGCAAATCTTATAACCCCAAAAAAATTTTTCATCGGCAAACCTGGTTCTTGAGATGATAGGCATATGATTCAAATTCATTACGTAATGTTACAGTTTCTTTAACACGTTTATCCTCCTCAGCAAACTTCTCTACTTCATTAACCATTCTTTCAATATCTAAAATTAAATTTATTTAAGTCTGGTAAAACCCTTGTAGGATGGAGCAATGGACGTTTCCAATTTTCGATTTTTTCTCAACATGACCGATCCTTATTGATTAGGACTGAACAAAAAACCCAATGGCCAACCTAATTTTAAAAACGTACAGCACCTTGGGGTTGAGTATAATCAACACCAATAAGAAGTATATTAAAAATAATATAGAGGAATTTTTAGTTTAAAAAATTAATCTTTTTTTTATCTTTTGCTCACCTAATATTATATTATTAAAAAATAATAAATTACAAAAAAAATATACAGTGCCGGAAAAAAAGATAGGACCAGACGCACACATTTTCCTTTCCTCAAATTTTCTTCAGAATTTTAGACTTTTAAGAGAAAAAATTTGATAGAAATTATCGATTAATCTATCCTCTATTAAATGAGTACTAATATTACCTTTTTGATTAATAATTAATTTTACAAAACAGTTCAAAACAAAAACTACTCAATTTTTGTGGTGGAAAAAAAGATAGGACCAGACTAGAAATATCGACTTTTGTTTGGTCAAAATTTCTATAAAAATTTTTATGAACATTTCCATCGATACTGAGTAGAAAATTAAAAAGAACGAAGTCTGTAACTTATTTCTTCATCGAGATCTCAAATCTCAAAAATCAACGGAAAATAGGGTTACAGTACTTCAGAAAATATTTTAGCCCCCTAGAGCTTAAATTAAAAATTTTATTTTATGCCTATCTGAAAGCCCATAAAATTTACTACAAAATAGTCCAAGTTTTTATCTTTCCAATAAGAACTCATGGAGATAGAGGTAAGGCAATTTTTTAAGTTATCATTTCTGGGGTATTTTGGGAGATTTTGAGAATTTTTAATGCATAATGGACTAGATTTAAACAGATATTTTTTTAGAAAAATTAATTTCCGGACTATTTTGTAGTAAATTTTATGGGCTTTCAGATAGGCATAAAATAAAATTTTTAATTTAAGCTCTAGGGGGCTAAAATATTTTCTGAAGTACTGTAACCCTATTTTCCGTTGATTTTTGAGATTTGAGATCTCGATGAAGAAATAAGTTACAGACTTCGTTTTTTTTAATTTTCTACTCAGTATCGATGGAAATGTTCATAAAAATTTTTATAGAAATTTTGACCAAACAAAAGTCGATATTTCTAGTCTGGTCCTATCTTTTTTTCCACCACAAAAATTGGGTAGTATCGGTTAAATTTTTTTGAAAAAAATTTTGTTGGTAAATTATCTTGATATTTATATTCATTTTAAAGAGCATTTAAAGAACTACAATTTTAGTGTTGAAACTTTTTTTCTAAAAGTTAATCGAAAAGAGATAGTAATCGATAAAAACTAATTTAACAGCCTCTGGTCCTATCTTTTTTTCCGGACTGTATAAACCTGTTAAAACTAAGCAAAAAACCCTATCACCAAACACAAAAATTTAGAAGAATAGTAAAACCATCACCACGCAAATTTGTTTTAATTATTTTTTTGCTTTTGTTTTTCTAACCACCAAATAATATTTATTTTTTTGTCTTCACCCATCATCATCATTTACATATTTAGTTTCTCTTGTCCCTTCCATCTTCATTAAATTTTCCAATTTCTTCTCAAAAAAGTCTACAATTTCTTTTCGATTTTTTTCTTCTTCCAAATTTATCTTCATTTCTTCAAAACTTTTTTGTTGAGGAAACTCCACAAAATTTAAACCAAATTCACAACAAACTTGTTTAAGAAGCCAAGGAGAAAACAAATTTGAACAAAAATTGTCTTTTAAATTTGATGGGCCACCTTCTTCCGGCAGTTTTTCTTCGTTTTTATTTTCTAAAGTTTAAAAATGAATCCTTTTCCTCTTAAATTAAAAAATTTAAACCTTTCTCCTTTTGAAAAAAATATTAAATGACTCGGCCAATATCAAAAATTTCGTTTTCAATTTTATCATCATTAATCTCTTCAGAAGACATTTTAGACCAAGCACATTTTGTATTTTCATTGAAAACGAAAAAATCATTTTGAAGAGAAGACAACGATTGAATTGCTTGTTGTTTTTGTTGTTCTTCCAATTTAACATTTGAAAATAAAAGTAAACGGGTAAAATCAAAAACCTGAAAAAATAAAAAAAATTTTACTAAAATGTTACAAAAAAAGCTTGGCTATACCTTAGCCAGTTGACAGTTCCGAAAAAAATAAATCTTTCATCTTATCAAAAGAAACCTTTAGCCTTTCTTATATATTTAAATTTTTGACTCCTGAAAATGAGCTTGGTCCCCTATAGGCTGCGACCTTTAAAGGCCTGTATTTCGACCCAAAGAAAATTCCGGCATGAAAAATGGCCCCAGTTGACATCTTGACTAGACGAAGGCTACACAAAACGAAAGAGTTTGGACCGCCAACCGACCAAAGTAGGCCAAAAAAAGTAAATAAAAAACCTCCTCATCCCCGTCAATTCTTCCAATTTCGAAAAAATTTATTTCCGACTTTTCCTCACTTTTGAGACTTGCCAAAGCTTCAAACTCCAAAAATACATTTTGATTACAAATTACTTGTTTTCTCCATAATAAGTCCAATTTGTATATCCATCTTGTAGCTAACAGCAAAAGCATGACATAAAGCGTGAAGAGAAGAAAAACGAGCAGATTTTTCAGTTTTACATTGAACAATTGGATGAAGAGGTAGACAAATATCTACAAAAAAAATTAGCTAGAAATTGAATGTAAAAATAGTGTAGGAAAAATAACAACATCCCCAAAAGGAGTTGAACCTTTACCATATAAGGAGAAATGTTGTGGGGGGATTGGAAAATTGCCCAACAAAACCAAAAGAAACACAACATCCTAAATTGGAAGAAAAACGTCCTGACCTGTTAACTAGGGTTGCAGGCCCGGGTCGGTTCGAAAGATCGAACCGGGCCTCGAATTTTAGCCCAAAAAAGACTCGACAGGTCCGGCCGATAAAAATAATGCCTGAAAAAATGACTCGAACGTGGTCCGGTTCGAAAACGGCAACCCTACTGTTAACCCTAAAATCAATGGCTTTACATGAACTTAAATTTTTTTTTACAAAAAGGATCATGACAACAATAAATTAACCCTATTCCCTACAGTCTTCCCACAAGTCACTGCAAAAGGCAAGGAATAAATTTGGACGAATTGGAGGAATAGATGGTGCCTATGGTTCTCTCCAAAGGTGTAAAAATTATGGAGAAACAAAATAATAAAAATACCAAGGTACGGAAGAAGAAACTCCTCCTTCGCAGTACCAAAAGAATGGAAGAGAACAACAATTGAAGGAATTACATTTGTTTGCCTAAGACAGTCAAGCAGCGAAAACAACGATGTAAGGAATGAACGAGTCTTTGAGGCGAATGAGTGAGATTTTAGGCTTTGTTGTTTTCCACGTCAGCAATGTTACTTTCCTCGTCTATTATGACAAAAACTGAGCGAATCTGTAAAAATATTTAAAGAATGATCAAGATGAATAAAGGAACAAGGGAACTAATCAAATAAAGTACACGGTCTGAAGCTATCTCGCGGAGAACCCAATGAAGACAAACGGGCCAATCACGGACCCTGAAGTACCCAGTCTTGAATCTTATCCAACAGAGAACCCAGAGAAGATAAACGTATCAATCCCGTCACTGAAGTAACACTGTCTTAAATCATATGGGATAAGGCTAACCAGAGACAAACAGAGAAGACAAACGAGCCATCACCAGATTACACAGTCTTAAATCTTATCCCACAGAGAAACCGGAGAAGACAAACGGGCCGTCTCCGGAACCTGAAGTGCCCGGTCTTGAAACCTAAGGCATAAGGCTAACCAGAGACATACAGGGGAATCACGGACAGGTTTATGACCCTTGACAATACTAAACTTAAATCACAAACCTTATTAACCTCAACAACTCTCTTAACAATCTTTTGAGAACCAGCAGAACCAAACAAAATATTGAGTTGACCTCCATTCAGATAAAGTTCCAGTGATTTTGAAATCTTCGTTCCATCTTTAGGAGAAACCAAAGCAAAAAGTTGTCTATTCTCATTAGTTGATCGACTAGCTTTGAGTAAATGAAGGGCAAAACTGGTAGCAAATTGATTAGTAGAATTTAAAGTTGGAGTAATTAGAAGAGTAGTCATTAGAATGATTAAAAGTGGTTAATGTAAAAATCTGAAAAAGTAAGTAATTAAAAATGGGAAACATTAAAATCAATCAAAATCTGTTGAAAAAGCAGAAATACGCGTAAAATTAAAGCAAATGATCTCGATCGGAGTTAAAAAATGGTCAAGGCAAACGAAGAAAAAAGTTGTTGAAGATGAATTTGCGCAAGACTCAAATGTACCTAATTTAAATGGGATAAAGTGACATTAAACAGAATGCCAAAAATAAAATCGATAAAAACACAACAGAACGATCAAGTACAGAAAATCAATAAACACCCCTCTAGCCTTCTACAGGCTTCTCCCTGTAAAACTTCCCCCCTTCCCCAATGAACTAAAAACCTCCAAAAACGGATTCCATCCATTGAAGCACATTCTGCTTTCTCCATACCATCCATACCACTGGTTGAGCTAAAACTTTCAAAAATTTCTAGAAATCAAGAAAATTGAAAAAAAGACAAGGACAAGAAAAACAAGGACAAAAAACAAGAAAATGAAGGAAGGGTGGGGTCATTCGCTCGCGCATTTTAAGCAAGCGATTTTTTCATTTAAAAAATTTGAAGATTTACCGGGCCAAGGGTTGATGAGGAAGGAGAAGGACATGTAGACGAGGAAGAGCATGTAGACGAGAAAGAGCATGTAGACGACCGCCACCACCACCAGTGCATGGAGTAGGACCTGGCTGAAAATCACCCCCTCCCATTATAAATTTTTATTTTTTTTTATTTTTTAATAAAAAACCACACCCCAACCATATTCCAACATCACAGCAAGCAGGCCACCAAAAGCATGAAGAGCCACCAACCACCAAGAGCATGAAGAGAGCCACCAGCCACGATGAGCATGAGGAGAGCCACAACCACCAAGAGCATGAAGAGAGCCGCCAAACCACCACAAGCAAGCCAACCACCAAACCACCACCACAAGCAAAACTTTTTAAAAAATTAAAAAAATTTTTTATTAAAAAAACAGGCCCCCAGACCACCACCACCATGAAGACCATCAGCATATTCTCCAAAGGCCACCACATGAAGAACAAACATAAAAATAAAAAAAATTTCATTTTTAAATTTAAAAATTTAAAATAAACTAGGAAAAAACCCACCGTTTGGTTGAAGCCATCCAGCCAAGGCCACCACAGACCAACATGTAGAGCACGGTTGAAGAAGCCTAACAATTAAAAAAATTTCAAACTCAAATTAAAAAAGAAGAAAAAAACAAATTTAACCGGCCAGCCATCCAGAGAAAGCATGTCCAGTTGTCGGGACTGGCCTTCAATTTGAAAAAATTTAGATTTTTTAAAAATTTTCAAAAATTATTTTTTAGCAAATTTTACGCGCGCGCAGCATTGGGGTCAACGAATAAACGAATAAAAAATATAAAAAACATGAAATAATTGAAAAAATGAAAAAAACAACAAAAAACGCGTAATCTCCGGAGATTAACAAAATCTGTGAAAATCCAGATTTCAGAAAAAAAAAGTGACGCCAAATAAATTTGAACGGAAAATTACGCAATTCATTATGTTAATTTTTAATTTGGAAAATGTCAAAGTGTAAACTAGTTGATATTTTGTCGATAACTCGAAAAAAATGAAGAAAATCGAAATTTTGGAGCCTTTGGAATTTCGGAAAATCTTTAGCTAGGAAAATTGAAATAAATTTTTTCCGGAAGATATACCAATCATGAATGCTTGGGAAACTTGGAACCTCCCCAAAAATTCCCACTCAGACTTGGAACATTCCCCAAAAAATTCCCACTTAGACTTGGAACATTCCCAAAAGTTCCCACTCAGACTTGAAGAGTCCCCACCCAAACTAGGAAAAAATCCTCCCAAAAATTCCTACTTAGACAAAATTTCTTGCTTGAATTTACTCAACTTATTACAACGCTTCTTTAAAAATTTTATTTAAAAAATAAAAATTTATAAAACAATTCTTTTCAAAAAACATCAAAATTATCTCAAAAGAATCTTCTATCTAAAAATGTACATCTTCTTGGTCTAGCCGGAAACAACTTTCCTTGCTTGTCAAGCTTGTCTAGGGCCAATTGCAAATGTCGTGGTGTTAAAGGCTCAGAGGATGATGAAGCTTCTTTGTTGGTTTCACGCTCAGCTTTTTGGATGTCCAGTGCTGAAAAGGAGAATTTTTTAATTAGAAAAAAATTCCTATGACCAAGACAAGAATATTTTTCCCCCAGAGAATGTTCCTCTACCAGATTATTCCCCAGAATACTAGGAAGTTATCCGAGAACCCATGTCCCTTTTTTTCATTGGAGGAATGGAGGCAGACATAAGAAAAATCTATGTGGCCCACTAATTCCCAATCCTATTTTCTCTAAAAAAAGTTCCATGAGATTGGCAGAACCCAATAAACGAGAAAAACACTACTCCACGGAACCCAGAAAAACCATATCCCGTTTATTTTTTCTTCGGTGGAAGGTCAGAGGCAGGCATAAGGAAGAATAAATGTCAAGCCGGAACAGTTCATTGAGACTGGCAGAACCCAAAGACCCACTGAAAAGTACGAACCCTTCCAATGACCCACTTGAAAGGTTCAATTGAGACCGTCGGAACTCAAAGAAAACGAAAAATCCCACTAAACCTTAATAACACCAAACAAATTTATAAATAACCTTCTTCAATCAACTCTCCAGTGAACACCTTAGCCATACCAGCAATCGCAATAACTACGTTTTGACCAACAGAAACACCAGCAAATTGGCTAATCAACTAAAATATTTTTTAATTTAATTTTAAAAATAAAAGAAACCCGTCGAATCGCCGATTTTGGAAAACTGGCACGTCTCATCGTTTCATAGCGTTCAAGTTGTTCTTGGGTAAAGTTGGCGAGAAGGATTCTACAAAAGAAGGGGGAAGGATTTTAAGAAAAAACGAGTACCCCTTGAAGACCTACACCCTGAAGATCTACACCCTCAAGGTTTATTGACTCTGAAAACCTTTAACTTTTGAAAGGGAATATCGATGGATTTGGAGAAATTGAAGAGGATAGAGAGAGACTTAGCAGCCAGAGTTATAGTACAAACTCACAATACCGGATCATAAGTTCAAAAATATAGAATTGGGGACCCTATCCCGAAAGAAGGGTCGAATCGTTTTTTTTCATTACTTTTTATTTCTTTATAAAAATGGTCAGTTTTCCTTAAAGTTGATGTAGGTTGACGTTTGCCTTGAGGAAAAATGGTGAAAGAGATTAAATTTTTTATATTTTTCTCTTGTTTTCGTTTGTATCATTTACACGGACGAACACGGACACAAAACACGGACGAGCACGGGCAAACAAAACACGGACGAACACAGACGAGCACGGACAGACAAAACATGGACGAACACGGACGAGCACGGACAGACAAAACATGGACGAACACGGACGAGCACGGACAGACAAAACACGGACGAACACAGACGAAGCACGGACGAACACGAACAGACAAAACACAGACGGACACGGACAGACATAACACGGACAGATAAAACAAGGACGGACACAAACGGGCGAACATGTGTCCGTCTGTGTTTAGTCCGTCCTTGTTTTGTCTGTTCGTGTTCTTCTGTCATTGTCCGTCCTCCATTTTTCCTTAAGGCAAACGTCAACCTACATCAACTTTAAGGAAAACTGACCATTTTTATAAAGAAATAAAAAGTAATGAAAAAAAACGATTCGACCCTTCTTTCGGGATAGGGCCGAATTGGGTATCCATAGAGCTGGGGGTATAAAAGAGGGATTAAGGGGTAAAAGTACCGAACTATCCCTCAATAGCTACTTTTTCCACCTTAATCACTCGATATCCCCTTTTCAAAAAGTGTAGATCTTCGGAGTCTAGGACCTTCAGGGTGTAGGTCTAAAGGGCCCCTAACCCCTAAAAATAAAAAGATTAACTGCAATTTAAGCCTTGCCAATTCATCCTCTTCATTAATCTTTTTAGGAGGCAACAAATCATCTTCCTCTTCCAAACTTTTCCTTTGTTTACTTGTCGACGGCATCAATTGCTTCAATATTTCTTCACATTTTTCTGCATTGTCGACGTTCCTTTTTTGCCGATTTTTCTTCTTCAATTGAATGAACAGATGTTGGTTGTTGTTCTAGTGGTGGTTGAATTTGGATGTCGGAAGGTTGGGGGACCTAAAGAATTAATTTTGATTGAAGATCTCATCTCTTAAATTATTCCCATAATCAACAATTTGATTGGAATTTCAAAAATAAATCTTTTGGATAGATTACCGTGAAACGTCCATAAGTGTTGGACTTTCCGTTTCAACTAATCTTATGTTCTAACGTTTGTTCTAACGTTTAAAAATGAATCCTTTTCCTCTTAAATTAAAAAATTTAAACCTTTCTCCTTTTGAAAAAAATATTAAATGACTCGGCCAATATCAAAAATTTCGTTTTCAATTTTATCATCATTAATCTCTTCAGAAGACATTTTAGACCAAGCACATTTTGTATTTTCATTGAAAACGAAAAAATCATTTTGAAGAGAAGACAACGATTGAATTGCTTGTTGTTTTTGTTGTTCTTCCAATTTAACATTTGAAAATAAAAGTAAACGGGTAAAATCAAAAACCTGAAAAAATAAAAAAAATTTTACTAAAATGTTACAAAAAAAGCTTGGCTATACCTTAGCCAGTTGACAGTTCCGAAAAAAATAAATCTTTCATCTTATCAAAAGAAACCTTTAGCCTTTCTTATATATTTAAATTTTTGACTCCTGAAAATGAGCTTGGTCCCCTATAGGCTGCGACCTTTAAAGGCCTGTATTTCGACCCAAAGAAAATTCCGGCATGAAAAATGGCCCCAGTTGACATCTTGACTAGACGAAGGCTACACAAAACGAAAGAGTTTGGACCGCCAACCGACCAAAGTAGGCCAAAAAAAGTAAATAAAAAACCTCCTCATCCCCGTCAATTCTTCCAATTTCGAAAAAATTTATTTCCGACTTTTCCTCACTTTTGAGACTTGCCAAAGCTTCAAACTCCAAAAATACATTTTGATTACAAATTACTTGTTTTCTCCATAATAAGTCCAATTTGTATATCCATCTTGTAGCTAACAGCAAAAGCATGACATAAAGCGTGAAGAGAAGAAAAACGAGCAGATTTTTCAGTTTTACATTGAACAATTGGATGAAGAGGTAGACAAATATCTACAAAAAAAATTAGCTAGAAATTGAATGTAAAAATAGTGTAGGAAAAATAACAACATCCCCAAAAGGAGTTGAACCTTTACCATATAAGGAGAAATGTTGTGGGGGGATTGGAAAATTGCCCAACAAAACCAAAAGAAACACAACATCCTAAATTGGAAGAAAAACGTCCTGACCTGTTAACTAGGGTTGCAGGCCCGGGTCGGTTCGAAAGATCGAACCGGGCCTCGAATTTTAGCCCAAAAAAGACTCGACAGGTCCGGCCGATAAAAATAATGCCTGAAAAAATGACTCGAACGTGGTCCGGTTCGAAAACGGCAACCCTACTGTTAACCCTAAAATCAATGGCTTTACATGAACTTAAATTTTTTTTTACAAAAAGGATCATGACAACAATAAATTAACCCTATTCCCTACAGTCTTCCCACAAGTCACTGCAAAAGGCAAGGAATAAATTTGGACGAATTGGAGGAATAGATGGTGCCTATGGTTCTCTCCAAAGGTGTAAAAATTATGGAGAAACAAAATAATAAAAATACCAAGGTACGGAAGAAGAAACTCCTCCTTCGCAGTACCAAAAGAATGGAAGAGAACAACAATTGAAGGAATTACATTTGTTTGCCTAAGACAGTCAAGCAGCGAAAACAACGATGTAAGGAATGAACGAGTCTTTGAGGCGAATGAGTGAGATTTTAGGCTTTGTTGTTTTCCACGTCAGCAATGTTACTTTCCTCGTCTATTATGACAAAAACTGAGCGAATCTGTAAAAATATTTAAAGAATGATCAAGATGAATAAAGGAACAAGGGAACTAATCAAATAAAGTACACGGTCTGAAGCTATCTCGCGGAGAACCCAATGAAGACAAACGGGCCAATCACGGACCCTGAAGTACCCAGTCTTGAATCTTATCCAACAGAGAACCCAGAGAAGATAAACGTATCAATCCCGTCACTGAAGTAACACTGTCTTAAATCATATGGGATAAGGCTAACCAGAGACAAACAGAGAAGACAAACGAGCCATCACCAGATTACACAGTCTTAAATCTTATCCCACAGAGAAACCGGAGAAGACAAACGGGCCGTCTCCGGAACCTGAAGTGCCCGGTCTTGAAACCTAAGGCATAAGGCTAACCAGAGACATACAGGGGAATCACGGACAGGTTTATGACCCTTGACAATACTAAACTTAAATCACAAACCTTATTAACCTCAACAACTCTCTTAACAATCTTTTGAGAACCAGCAGAACCAAACAAAATATTGAGTTGACCTCCATTCAGATAAAGTTCCAGTGATTTTGAAATCTTCGTTCCATCTTTAGGAGAAACCAAAGCAAAAAGTTGTCTATTCTCATTAGTTGATCGACTAGCTTTGAGTAAATGAAGGGCAAAACTGGTAGCAAATTGATTAGTAGAATTTAAAGTTGGAGTAATTAGAAGAGTAGTCATTAGAATGATTAAAAGTGGTTAATGTAAAAATCTGAAAAAGTAAGTAATTAAAAATGGGAAACATTAAAATCAATCAAAATCTGTTGAAAAAGCAGAAATACGCGTAAAATTAAAGCAAATGATCTCGATCGGAGTTAAAAAATGGTCAAGGCAAACGAAGAAAAAAGTTGTTGAAGATGAATTTGCGCAAGACTCAAATGTACCTAATTTAAATGGGATAAAGTGACATTAAACAGAATGCCAAAAATAAAATCGATAAAAACACAACAGAACGATCAAGTACAGAAAATCAATAAACACCCCTCTAGCCTTCTACAGGCTTCTCCCTGTAAAACTTCCCCCCTTCCCCAATGAACTAAAAACCTCCAAAAACGGATTCCATCCATTGAAGCACATTCTGCTTTCTCCATACCATCCATACCACTGGTTGAGCTAAAACTTTCAAAAATTTCTAGAAATCAAGAAAATTGAAAAAAAGACAAGGACAAGAAAAACAAGGACAAAAAACAAGAAAATGAAGGAAGGGTGGGGTCATTCGCTCGCGCATTTTAAGCAAGCGATTTTTTCATTTAAAAAATTTGAAGATTTACCGGGCCAAGGGTTGATGAGGAAGGAGAAGGACATGTAGACGAGGAAGAGCATGTAGACGAGAAAGAGCATGTAGACGACCGCCACCACCACCAGTGCATGGAGTAGGACCTGGCTGAAAATCACCCCCTCCCATTATAAATTTTTATTTTTTTTTATTTTTTAATAAAAAACCACACCCCAACCATATTCCAACATCACAGCAAGCAGGCCACCAAAAGCATGAAGAGCCACCAACCACCAAGAGCATGAAGAGAGCCACCAGCCACGATGAGCATGAGGAGAGCCACAACCACCAAGAGCATGAAGAGAGCCGCCAAACCACCACAAGCAAGCCAACCACCAAACCACCACCACAAGCAAAACTTTTTAAAAAATTAAAAAAATTTTTTATTAAAAAAACAGGCCCCCAGACCACCACCACCATGAAGACCATCAGCATATTCTCCAAAGGCCACCACATGAAGAACAAACATAAAAATAAAAAAAATTTCATTTTTAAATTTAAAAATTTAAAATAAACTAGGAAAAAACCCACCGTTTGGTTGAAGCCATCCAGCCAAGGCCACCACAGACCAACATGTAGAGCACGGTTGAAGAAGCCTAACAATTAAAAAAATTTCAAACTCAAATTAAAAAAGAAGAAAAAAACAAATTTAACCGGCCAGCCATCCAGAGAAAGCATGTCCAGTTGTCGGGACTGGCCTTCAATTTGAAAAAATTTAGATTTTTTAAAAATTTTCAAAAATTATTTTTTAGCAAATTTTACGCGCGCGCAGCATTGGGGTCAACGAATAAACGAATAAAAAATATAAAAAACATGAAATAATTGAAAAAATGAAAAAAACAACAAAAAACGCGTAATCTCCGGAGATTAACAAAATCTGTGAAAATCCAGATTTCAGAAAAAAAAAGTGACGCCAAATAAATTTGAACGGAAAATTACGCAATTCATTATGTTAATTTTTAATTTGGAAAATGTCAAAGTGTAAACTAGTTGATATTTTGTCGATAACTCGAAAAAAATGAAGAAAATCGAAATTTTGGAGCCTTTGGAATTTCGGAAAATCTTTAGCTAGGAAAATTGAAATAAATTTTTTCCGGAAGATATACCAATCATGAATGCTTGGGAAACTTGGAACCTCCCCAAAAATTCCCACTCAGACTTGGAACATTCCCCAAAAAATTCCCACTTAGACTTGGAACATTCCCAAAAGTTCCCACTCTAGAGCTAGGAACGGGTCCGGGACCCGGACCCGTTTCCCGGTTTCCGGGTCCTTTTTCCCGGTTTTTTTGAAGCAACCGGGTTGAAACCGGGAACGGGTTTTCCCGGTTTCCCGGACCCGGAACCCGCCCGGTCCATTTTTCAGAACCCGTTTCCCGGACCCGGTCCCGGCTTTTTTTTTCACTGGGAAACCGGGAAAAATATTTAGTGTATTTGCGTACTTTGATATTAAATTTTTGAAGGAAAAAGCAAAGGAATATTTATAATTTCTCCATTTTGCATTTGTCGGTCGATAGTTGAGTGGTTAAGTTTACTTACTTCACTCATCTAGTTATTTTGATAGGGATGGGGTTCGAGTCCATGTATGGAAATGTGGCTGAGAAAATTTTCTTTTCAAAGATAAATAATTTTAAACTTTGATTTTGATTTTAAATTTGCAAACTTTTTTTGATGTTTCAAACTTGAAAAAATATAAGAAATTTTAATTATTTCATGAATTTTCCAAAATTTTCGCCTGTGGCGCAGAAGATTTAAGAGTTCTGGCTTCATTACCATCTAAACTTCGAAAAATTTTTTCGCCGGCAGCTCTGACAATTGAATTTTTTTCTCCTAAGGCCTTACAAAATTCTGTAAATTTTCGCCTACGGCGCAAAGAATTTTTAATTTAATATGATTAAAAAGAATCAAAAGGGATATCTAAGGATTCTGAAGGAATTAAGGGGAACTAACATTCTGAAGGAACTAACATAACAACCTCTCGGCCACCATATAAGGGCTATAGAAAGAAATTAAACATATGTAGTATGTCTTTGAATTTTCCATTAATCCCCAGTTGCCGACGAACTTATGTTTCAGACAAGGGAATTTGATCTTTAGTTAAATAATCGTGAATGACATTTACTTACATTAATAGAGGTTATTTAGAATAAGTATAGGAGGATAGTTGAAAAATACAGCCCTATGTGGAAAATAGACCATCATTTCAACAAATTAAAAATTTCCCGGTTTCCCGGCCGGGACCCGCCCATTTCTAGACCGGGTTGAAACCGGGAACGGGTTTTCCCGGTTTCCCGGACCCGGAACCCGCCCGGTCCATTTTTCAGAACCCGTTTCCCGGACCCGGTCCCGGTTTTTTCAAAATTCCTAGCTCTATCCCACTCAGACTTGAAGAGTCCCCACCCAAACTAGGAAAAAATCCTCCCAAAAATTCCTACTTAGACAAAATTTCTTGCTTGAATTTACTCAACTTATTACAACGCTTCTTTAAAAATTTTATTTAAAAAATAAAAATTTATAAAACAATTCTTTTCAAAAAACATCAAAATTATCTCAAAAGAATCTTCTATCTAAAAATGTACATCTTCTTGGTCTAGCCGGAAACAACTTTCCTTGCTTGTCAAGCTTGTCTAGGGCCAATTGCAAATGTCGTGGTGTTAAAGGCTCAGAGGATGATGAAGCTTCTTTGTTGGTTTCACGCTCAGCTTTTTGGATGTCCAGTGCTGAAAAGGAGAATTTTTTAATTAGAAAAAAATTCCTATGACCAAGACAAGAATATTTTTCCCCCAGAGAATGTTCCTCTACCAGATTATTCCCCAGAATACTAGGAAGTTATCCGAGAACCCATGTCCCTTTTTTTCATTGGAGGAATGGAGGCAGACATAAGAAAAATCTATGTGGCCCACTAATTCCCAATCCTATTTTCTCTAAAAAAAGTTCCATGAGATTGGCAGAACCCAATAAACGAGAAAAACACTACTCCACGGAACCCAGAAAAACCATATCCCGTTTATTTTTTCTTCGGTGGAAGGTCAGAGGCAGGCATAAGGAAGAATAAATGTCAAGCCGGAACAGTTCATTGAGACTGGCAGAACCCAAAGACCCACTGAAAAGTACGAACCCTTCCAATGACCCACTTGAAAGGTTCAATTGAGACCGTCGGAACTCAAAGAAAACGAAAAATCCCACTAAACCTTAATAACACCAAACAAATTTATAAATAACCTTCTTCAATCAACTCTCCAGTGAACACCTTAGCCATACCAGCAATCGCAATAACTACGTTTTGACCAACAGAAACACCAGCAAATTGGCTAATCAACTAAAATATTTTTTAATTTAATTTTAAAAATAAAAGAAACCCGTCGAATCGCCGATTTTGGAAAACTGGCACGTCTCATCGTTTCATAGCGTTCAAGTTGTTCTTGGGTAAAGTTGGCGAGAAGGATTCTACAAAAGAAGGGGGAAGGATTTTAAGAAAAAACGAGTACCCCTTGAAGACCTACACCCTGAAGATCTACACCCTCAAGGTTTATTGACTCTGAAAACCTTTAACTTTTGAAAGGGAATATCGATGGATTTGGAGAAATTGAAGAGGATAGAGAGAGACTTAGCAGCCAGAGTTATAGTACAAACTCACAATACCGGATCATAAGTTCAAAAATATAGAATTGGGGACCCTATCCCGAAAGAAGGGTCGAATCGTTTTTTTTCATTACTTTTTATTTCTTTATAAAAATGGTCAGTTTTCCTTAAAGTTGATGTAGGTTGACGTTTGCCTTGAGGAAAAATGGTGAAAGAGATTAAATTTTTTATATTTTTCTCTTGTTTTCGTTTGTATCATTTACACGGACGAACACGGACACAAAACACGGACGAGCACGGGCAAACAAAACACGGACGAACACAGACGAGCACGGACAGACAAAACATGGACGAACACGGACGAGCACGGACAGACAAAACATGGACGAACACGGACGAGCACGGACAGACAAAACACGGACGAACACAGACGAAGCACGGACGAACACGAACAGACAAAACACAGACGGACACGGACAGACATAACACGGACAGATAAAACAAGGACGGACACAAACGGGCGAACATGTGTCCGTCTGTGTTTAGTCCGTCCTTGTTTTGTCTGTTCGTGTTCTTCTGTCATTGTCCGTCCTCCATTTTTCCTTAAGGCAAACGTCAACCTACATCAACTTTAAGGAAAACTGACCATTTTTATAAAGAAATAAAAAGTAATGAAAAAAAACGATTCGACCCTTCTTTCGGGATAGGGCCGAATTGGGTATCCATAGAGCTGGGGGTATAAAAGAGGGATTAAGGGGTAAAAGTACCGAACTATCCCTCAATAGCTACTTTTTCCACCTTAATCACTCGATATCCCCTTTTCAAAAAGTGTAGGTCTTCGGAGTCTAGGACCTTCAGGGTGTAGGTCTAAAGGGCCCCTAACCCCTAAAAATAAAAAGATTAACTGCAATTTAAGCCTTGCCAATTCATCCTCTTCATTAATCTTTTTAGGAGGCAACAAATCATCTTCCTCTTCCAAACTTTTCCTTTGTTTACTTGTCGACGGCATCAATTGCTTCAATATTTCTTCACATTTTTCTGCATTGTCGACGTTCCTTTTTTGCCGATTTTTCTTCTTCAATTGAATGAACAGATGTTGGTTGTTGTTCTAGTGGTGGTTGAATTTGGATGTCGGAAGGTTGGGGGACCTAAAGAATTAATTTTGATTGAAGATCTCATCTCTTAAATTATTCCCATAATCAACAATTTGATTGGAATTTCAAAAATAAATCTTTTGGATAGATTACCGTGAAACGTCCATAAGTGTTGGACTTTCCGTTTCAACTAATCTTATGTTCTAACGTTTGGAACCCATAATTCCACTTAGAGTCAATTTAGCGAAAAATGGCTCAGATCCTTCTTGAAAACCTCCTAAGACCAACTCATATCGTTAGTGAATCGGAAGAAACTAGGGAAACTCCCAGAGGAAAAGAAGAAACTATCAACCACTGAGGAACCGAGGATTCTCTTAAATCCCATTTTTATTAAACCCTTCCTAACCCACCACGACTCAATCGTTGCCCTGCCTAAATCTAACAGTTTACAAACAAAAAAGAAAAAATTAAACCTCAGGTTGTAATGTTTCCGTCACAATATCCTCCAATGGATCTTCAAGAAGTCCAAAAGCTTCATCAAAGTCTACAATCTCTGCCTTTTTTGTCGTTTTACCTTGAGGATGTTGAGAAGTTGAGGAAGATTCGCTGGCATTTTGTTTCCGTTTCATTTGGAGAAATTGATAGAATTTTTTAAAAGATCTAAAAAATTTCAAGAAATTTATAAAAAAATTTCAAAAATTTAAAAAAAAATTTACAAAAAATTTTTAAAACCCCGAAGGCGAACGCCAACATTCTGAACATTCTCCCCGTTGAACGTTTTGTCCTTCCTACCTTTAATACGGTACCGAACAATTTTAAAAAAAAATCGGTATTTTTTCGGTATCGGAAAATACCGATACCGATACCGAAAAATCGCGTTTGAATAACACTAGTTATGACTATGAGATGAATTGAATAAAGGATTTTAATTAATGATAGATTAGATTAGTAAAATTTGGCTTGGCAAAAAAGCACCTCCAAGTCCATCTTAAATGACTCCAAGAAGAAAAGATATATTTAGTCTTTTTCTCTCTCCGTAGTCTTTATAATTGGATAAATTGTCATTTTTCGTAAATAGACTGCCAAAATTTAAATTGGAAGGAATAACGAGGCATGAAACATAAAGCACAATAATTGGACTATCTAAATACATCAAAAGTCTGAAAAACTCTATCTAAAAAGCTCAAATACCTTTTCCATCCAACACTCCGCATTTCTCCTAATCCAGTTCGGTTGCTACCTTTTTCCAAATCAAGTTAAAACAAAAATTTTCTATAAAATTTGCGCTTGCTGCAGTGTGATGTACCGAAAAGACCAAAATCAACGACAAGATATATCAAAAGACGAATCATTAGAAAATATATATCAAAAGAAATATGTAATTTTATTTTAAAATTCTAGACAATGTCAAATATTTTAATTTTTTATCAATAAGTGAAAAAATACTATTTGTTTGACAATTTTGGACGTCATCGCCCGAATCTCACTTCAGTCTTTGAATTATTCAAACATGAGAAATATTCGCCAAAAGTCCCGTGTCAGGTGCACTTTCTTTTATTAATCTTTGCACAGCCTTGAACTTTCCATGGACACTATCACCAACAAGGCCAAGTATTACACATTCACTAGTACTCAGATTAATTCCAGCTCTTTCTAATTGCTTATATGCGTAGATTCTGAAAATCCATCTTTATTTTAGTCAATTAAAAATATTAAAGTAAACAATGGTACTTATTCCCTTTCCTAAACAATCACGACGCCAGAGGTATGGGGATTCCTTCCTCCACAAATTTTTCCTGATTACGTACCTCAATGTAAATTCCTTAAGACTCTATCCCTTTTAACCCCTTCATTTTTTATATTTTTTTAAAGATATTAAATGAATCTATTAACCTGTCAACCATTGAACGACTTGAAGAGCCATCAACAAGAACATGCACATTGAAACCTTTCTCCTGGAAATCGATTGCCGTCTGAAAATTAAATTTTCTGCGGTGAATAATTTCGTAGATGGCCAAAAAAATTAGTTATTCCGAAAAAATATTACTGACATGATAGACGCAAACATGCGCTTCTATTCCACATATAAGAACGGATTTGATGCCAGTACCAAGCTCATTGCGAAGATCTGGAGCACACATTGAAAACTGAAATATAATCACCGATTAAAGATTTAAAAACTAACTTTGAACCTTGGTTTTAGTGAATACTGGAACATTGTGTTTATGCAGACCAAGTTCAGCTACAGTGTGACCCAGACCATTTGGATTCTGCTCCGTCGCAACAATCTATGTTTTAGCTACGTATATTAAAAAAACTCCCTTATTACCTTAATGTCCAGCAATTTTGCAGCCTCAATCATTCGCCGTGTTACTTCTACGATTTGGGGAAAGTATTGAATATGGTTTCTAATTGTAAATAAAAAGTTAAAGCAAAATTGTATATTGAAAACCTGAATTTGTCTTGCATGTCACAAACTAAAAGAGCACTCTCTGAAGGTACTAATCTCAGCATTCTTGAAGCTGCCATCGAAACTGAAAACTTAATAATCGCGTTAAACAAAAAAATGTAATATGTTTGGTTGTATTATCAACCATAAATTCTCTCGGGGTGGGGTTACCTCGGATATGAATGAGTGGGATCACCCCAGAGTATCGACACCCAAAGTATCGACACCCAGAGTATCGACACCCAAAGTATCGAATGACCCAAAGTATCGACACCCAAAGTATCGAATGACCCAAAGTATCGAATTTTTTAAATTTCATAATTAAGTATTTCAATGATCGGGCATGATGTTCTAACATCGGGGAATTGTGTTTTCGATCAAACTGAGCATAGCGACCGAACAAGATTCTACTTGGAGATCGATCACTCTTCTTTGATTGGACATATTGATCATGATCGATGTTTGATCCATTGTTGGAACAATTTCCCTATGTTAAAAAGACTTCCCCGTCCTTGGAATACTTAATTATGAAATTTAAAAAATTCGATACTTTGGGTCATTCGATACTTTGGGTGTCGATACTTTGGGTCATTCGATACTTTGGGTGTCGATACTCTGGGTGTCGATACTTTGGGTGTCGATACTCTGGGGTGGACTCGAATGAGTTAACCATATAAATATCTATGAAGAAGAAAAAACGATAGTATCCGAATTAATGGTTGGCGGACGATTCAGAATTCAGTATCGAGGGCGTATCATCCAAATACATATGTCCTCAATACTAAGTCGTCGATACTGAAGTCGTCGATACGTCGATACTTTACCGAATTAATGTGAACATTTGTGCGACTAACATTTTATAGTCTAAACTAATATGGCGTTTTGTCACATTCTAGTTTTAGTGGCATTTTGTCACAGTTCTAGTTTCAATGGCATGCTGTTTACAATATTGATTTGCAGCTTTTCAGTGTAGTCGCAGGAAATTTGGTGAACAACCCGTTGAAGACAGAGTGAAGGATTAATGGAGTCTTGTCCTCTTTTTCTTATGCTTTCATATGTATGCACTCCCTCTTCCAATTGCTTTTAACTATTTCTTTCTTCCAATCGTACTGTTTCTCTATTTTCTCTTACATTTTCTCTTTTCTTGCGTCTATTCTCTCGAAATGCATCAATTTATCATGCTGTATTTAACTTGAGTCATTTTATTTGATCTCTAGATTTTCCACTAATGCTTTTCTAACTGCCCAGTAAAGTGTCTTTAATTTTGTTATCTGAAGTATACGGGATTTGTCTCATGTTCAATTTACTTTTTATGCTTGAAGTTATGCGGAATCATAATATATTGGGTTCATTTCTTCACAACTTCTCCCTTAAAGTTGCCGCGCTATTTTCAATACTCAATATCTACCGAGTATCAAATTGCCTCGGTCCAAACAATTTCATATGTACTTAAATTACGTCAATTTTTCTTTCCAGGATATTTACATACATATCATTAAGATATTCTTATTTTTCACATAAAAAATCGCACGTGCATTGCGACAGAAAAGATATCGGGGAAAAAGAAGTCGATTGAAATTTTGTCTCTCCTTCTTTTAATGTAATTTTCTGTCGCAAGACGTAAAGCAACTTTTATGTCATAGCATAATAGTTTTCGTTTCAGACATTAACTTTTCGGCTTTTTAACTTTGAAGTACTAATTTTTGTTTGTCTTTCATATTTTTGCTACACTGCATTGCCATTAATATTTACTAGCGGCATCGAGTTATTTAACAACACACGTTTAGGAACCATGGAATTTCGGAATTTGTCGTAGGCAGTAAATAATCAGATCATCAACTTAACTGTTGATTTTGGAATTTTTGGTCATACCTTTATCAAATTTATTGGTGGCCTATTGAACTCACCGGCGTGCAGTTTCTAAAAAATATGATGGCTCAAGTAAATATTTTATTTACTTTACTAAGGAATTTGAATATAATAAATTTTTTCATAACATTTAACCATTGCTTTCTAATTCCAGTTTACCTCTCCAGCTGCGTCTAACTGTTGGGTTCAACCACCTCCCGATTCGACTGATAGTGGCAGCGGTGATCCTGTTCACATACATAATCATCATCCGTTAATAGCATCACAACACTTTGTCACTGATCGTGACATCGTTTCTTGTGCACAAATACCTCAAGTGCTCCCAAATGACAATCAATTAATCTTTAAACAGGTAGAATCAATTAATCTTCAAACAGTTCTTTACTATTATAGAATCAACTGCAGCAATTCGTAATGCCGCCACTAGCACATCAGAATCACTATTCAAATGTCGGGTATATTACTTCTCGTCCTTGTCATCACTCAGCTGATATTAACTCTAATAATGCTGATATTGTGTATCATGCCGGTTTGTTTTTATATACCTATACCGTATGTATGCTGTACTATGTCTCCTTCAGTATATATCGTATCTGTGCATAGTGAAGTTTGCTATAACAGTACAGTGTCCATATCAATAGCCTAATTGAATCTATCCATGCTTTCCTACTACGAGCATATAAACTAATTTATGTCCTAAAATAAACAATTAATAGGGTTAACGCCTCATCAGCATATGCTTGGACGAAGTGAGGCTACATCACAGCATCAACAACAAAAGATTGCCAATGTTCCTGCAACAGTTCAACCACAGGTAGTTATGGTTTGAATTCGCATATGATATTTTGTTTTGTTAAGTCTACAACAGTTTTATGCATTAACCCGCATCGACGTGATGTTTCCGCACGCCCTTTAAACAAACTAACATCCGAACTGATCAGGACATATAAGTCAATCAATGAGGTAGTTTTTTCCAAGTTAATGTGTGGGCTCGAATGAAACGTAGTTCTTCATATTTTAACAAATTTTAAGAATTACTACAATCGCAAAGCTCGGCGCCGCCAGCATGCTATTGATGATTTGTCATCTGTAACTGTTTCAACCACTGCACCGCTTCCACACCAAATCCGTACCCAAGTCCCTATAACAGATCCCAGCGAATCGATGAATAATATCGCTTCTGGTGGAACAGCAACCCTAAACACCCTCTTATCAAATCAACAACACAATTTTCTTGGGATGCTTCAGTCTTCATCGGTCTGTTTTGATAAATTAAGAACTTATGATTAATTTCGATTTAACTTTAAATCTTGTTTTTAGAATTTGCAAGTTGGCTCAAGTTCTATTCCTTTGCCCGATGAAAGTTCAGCTGCTTCTGTTAGTGCAAATCTTTCCTACCATCATGTTCCGCAGCAACGCAGCCTTCCTTATAATGTTCCATTAGCAGGGACGAAACATAAAAACCATTTATTGCAGCAACAATCAATTTCATCCAAAGTTTCGCAACAGCAACAGATGGCTTGGAAAATTGCAATGGATGTGCAGGGTCTTCAGCAACAATCAAATCAGCAGCACCCTTCAGTATGTTAAATAAGTTGATATAACAGGCATTAACCCCTAGTTAAGAGTTAAAATATCTTAATTTAGATACTTAATTTTTGTGATATGCTTAAATTTTCAGTTGGATCTAAATGAAGAGGACTGCGATGATGAAAACCATGATTATATCATTCGAATAGGCGAAATATTTAATTACAGGTAAAATAATTGCTTCGATTACAAGTTTACTTATGCTTTTTAAGGTATCGGATTGAATCAAGCATTGGCAAGGGTTCATTTGGACAAGTAGCTAAGGCTTACGACATGGTAGATGAGGAAAATGTTGCGATCAAAATTATTAAAAATAAAAAGGCGTTTTACGATCAAGTAAGACGTTTATCAATTAATTTTGAAAGATGCTCGTAACTATATAAATTCAAGGCACAAATTGAAATTCGATTACTCGAATTAATGAATAACCACAATTCAGAAGGTCAACACTACGTTGGTAAGCTTTTTTTAATGTTTATTGCATATCGAATATTATTTAGTTACATTAAAAAGCCATTTTATCTGGCGTAAACACCTTTGCCTAGTATTTGAACTGCTATCATATAATCTATACGACCTTTTGCGAAATACGAATTTTCATGGAGTTTCGTTAAATTTGACGCGAAAATTTGGACAACAACTAGCAGCAACTCTTCTATTCCTTTCACAACCGGAACTAAACATAATCCATTGGTATGTCCTTAGTATTTTTAAGAGATAAAAAATAAAAACTGATACTTTTTTCCTAAATTTTTCCAAAATTTTTTAGTTCATTTAGTTTGTACAATTAAAAAACTTAACTTTAGTGATCTAAAACCAGAGAATGTGCTCCTTTGCAACCCTAAACGTTCGACGATCAAGGCTAGTTTTTCTTTTGTTTATATATTACAAAGGTAAAAATGATTTGGGGAGAATAAAGCAAGTTTATAAGGATTATTAAATGTTTAGTGCAAACTATAACTAATTTTACAGATTATCGATTTCGGTTCATCATGCCAATACGATAGCCGAATTTATCACTACATACAGTCGCGTTTCTATCGCTCACCAGAGGTTTTGCTTGGCATTTCATATGATACACAAATTGACATGTGGTCTCTTGGATGTATTCTTATGGAGGTAAATTCGAACATTCATTAAAAAAACTACATTTCTTTATTTAATTCAATTCAATAACAGATGCACACAGGCGAGCCACTTTTTCCAGGTCATTCTGAGTTTGATCAGATGATGAAAATTGTTGAGGTTCAAGGCATTCCACCACCTCATATTCTTGCAGCAGGTACCAAAAGCTCCAAATTTTTTGAGGTGGACGAACGTGAGTATAAATTTAAATGGATCATACGCATAAATCAAATATTTAAGTTGGACAATGGCACTGCAAAAAATCGCGTGTAACTAAAGCCTACAAAGCACCAGGATCCCGTCGTCTGTCCGATATACTAGGTATGAACAATAATAGTACTGGTCCATTTTCACGACTCGGTGAAGGGCATGGTCATATGTTGGAAGACTATATGAAGTTCAAGGTTAATAATATACTAATCAAACATTAATTTTACTGGTTTAAAATGTCGTTTCTAATAATAGAACCTTGTAACCTAAAAAATGTTTTATTTTCTTATGATTTTTAATTAATGAGCTGCCGAAAAGCTTATACAAAATTTTTTACTGTAGACTGATCATTTAGTGTTGAATTTTCAGGATCTTGTCAATAGGATGCTGGACTTTGATCCACAAAAACGAATTTCACCGTACTTTGCTGTAAGACACCCGTTCTTGCGGAAGACTGCACCAGAAGAGCAACAATCAAATTCTGCAAACGTTGCTTATCATTCTCATTCAAATGTGCCTATGTCGCTACAAGCGCCAGGCTCAGATTTCGTAAGTCGGCCCACATAGTAAGATAAATTACTATTTTATAGTATATCTGCTAATAATATGACGACGCAGTTTACAATTAATGATGGTGGCTTGAAGATGAACAAATGCGTTGTTCACTTCATTTTACTCATTTCCTCAAGCGTGGATGAAGACAGGGCATAAGGAAAGTAGTGGATTTAATATTAATCCTAAAATGAAGGTCAGATGAGTGAACACATTTCAATTTGTATTATACACTCTGTAACAAAATGATAGCGCCACCGAGTTTTTATCAATATCTCGCCAAATACGTAACGAATCTTTTTCAAATTTTGGTAGAATATATTTAAGGATATTATGTATCAATAATGAAAAGAAAAAGGTTAATCCAATTTCTCAAAAAAATTTTATGATAATAAATTTGATTCTAAAGTGTAACAAAAAGATAGCGCCACTTGTATTTTCGACCTTAAGAGTGATCCGAAAAATCTGAAAAAATCCCTGTAAACATATCTATTGATATCTATAGAAAATACAAAAGAAACTAAGTTCCAATATAATTCCTTCATTGAGATCTGAAAAACCGGAAATCAACGGATACCGAGGGTAGACAACTTTAAAAAATATTTTCGACCCCTTATAGTTGAAATAAAAATTTTATTTTGGGCTTATTTGAAAGCCCTTGAAATTTGCTACAAGATGGTTTCATCTCATAATCCAGAAAAAATCCATCTTTGAGAAATATTGAGTTAAGTTTATAAGTTACATTTTCATCACATTTTGGGGGGCGTTTGAGTGAATTTTATGACCAGAAAGTTTATCACATTATGTCTTAAAGGTGAATTTTTTTCGGAAAATAAAATTGATGCTATCTTGTAGCAAATTTCAAGGGCTTTCAAATAAGCCCAAAATAAAATTTTTATTTCAACTATAAGGGGTCGAAAATATTTTTTAAAGACGTCTACCCCCGGTTTTCCGTTGATTTCCGTTTTTTCAGATCTCAATGAAGTAATTATATTGGAACATATTTTCTTTTGTATTTTCTATAGATATCAATAGATATGTTTACAGGGATTTTTTCAGATTTTTCGGATCACTCTTAAGGTCGAAAATACAAGTGGCGCTATCTTTTTGTTACACTTTAGAATCAAATTTATTATCATAAAATTTTTTTGAGAAATTGGATTAACCTTTTTCTTTTCATTATTGATACATAATATCCTTAAATATATTCTACCAAAATTTGAAAAAGATTCGTTACGTATTTGGCGAGCTATTGATAAAAACTTGGTGGCGCTATCATTTTGTTACAGAGTGTACACATAAAATCAGCTTTTCATGTTATACAATTTGTTTTGAATATATTGTCTTGAATAAATTTCTTATACATCATGACTGCAACGAAATAGAAGGCGATCCAAGATATAACCTTAAAGTGCCAATTGATTTTTAGCTCATTCTTTAACATAAACCTGAGGTCACGGCACACCCATAATGTACTCTTTGTTCCTCCGGTAGCGATGCCATGTTATGCTTGTATGTTCCTAAATTCAAACGAAAATATTTAAAGGTTAAAGATAAAAATTTAATCGATCAAATGTTATACGTTTTGACTCCCCAGCCAAAGGAATTGTCGCACCAATATCACCACATACTGCGCATTTCTGCATAACAAGATCTCTAAATTATTGAAAGAATGAATGAACCTGTTTCCAATAACGGAAAATATTATTTTGAAGATTCGGAAATCTGCCACCTATCAAGAAGAGATCCGGGGTCCAGAGTGCACACTACAAAAGATTTTGTTTTTCCAAACGATGATTTTATGAAAGATTTACCTCGCCATGTATCCAAACGTCCATTGAGCTCGGGGATCTTGTTGATCTTTCCTGTTTATTATTTCAAATTACTGAAAAGGTTTATAAGGAAAACTTCATTATTTTGTTTGCTCTGCGGAAGTAACGTCCTCGGCATGATCCGTTCAGGTGGATGACATTCGGCAGAAATAGAAACGAAATACGGACCAAACAATTCGCCCTTAAACGAAAAAAATATGGGTCACACATACTCGTTGAAATCCCACTTCCTTTCACCACTAAAAACAAACCAATGGGCGTTGATTAGTTCCGCAATGTTGAAAACACAATGCACACAACATATTTCCATGTAGTAAATTTGCAGGCGGTTCGGGCTTGAAAATAATCTCTTAAAAAATATTTATAAAAAATAAAACCTGTAATAATCGCAGTTTATGTGAATCCATGACGCGTTGCATCATCCTCTGATAGCTCGCTGGGTGGAGCAACCTTTTCGCAGAGGTATCCAACTTGGCTTCTTTAAGCTCGCCTTTCTCCTTAATTTTGGCGATATATTGGTATATTTATGAAAAAATTTAGGAAAATATAGCTACAAGTAACTTTCTTTTTCTTGTCCCGCCATTTTTCCCGTTATAAAAGAAAAAAAGTAAAGACGACCTCTTGAAAAGTTATAGTGTTAATCTTTAAAATTTAAACAACCTTTCTCATACAGCCATAACGCTCGTGAACCTTTTGCATTAAGGTTAAATGTTCTTGAAGCTTTTGTGGAAAAATCTGTCGGGTAGAATTTTTCCTTTGTTTGTGATGAAATTGTGCTTTATGTCGTTTATTCTTGGAGCTGTTTGTTCCATTATGATTAACTCTATTTTGTATTCCATTAATTTCTGTGTTATCTGCATCGTTTTTGTCATCAAGTTTTTCATTTATAGAATGAATTGCCTCAATATTAGAAGCTCGAAACATCTTCAAAATTCAATTTCAAATGTGTTCTAATTTTTCGTTTACTTTACTGGCTTTTCGTCAGAGGACTTTCCGTCAATACTTATCGTCAATGGACCTTACGTCAACGGTCTTTTCGTCAACGAACACTAATGCGTTAAAACTTGGATAGAAGATCGGTTTCATAAAAAAGATGTAGATATTGATTTCGATTTATTTATGTTTGAGCGGAATAGAGACGTATAAATGAAATTTAGACATTACCAAAATTAAAAAAAGATTTTTAGCCTGTAGCAGATATTTACATTCGGCTAAATAAATCGCCTTATTGTTAATTTGGTTACTCCTACCTAAGCTATGGACCAGTATATTGCCTCCTTCAATTTAGTGTTACACCCAAATTGCTAAATAAGGGGAACTAATAATTTAGCTATTTTGGGATTGGCAAAAGGCTTAGCGCCTAGCAGTTTTTAGGTGTGTCGATGACAATATATACGCTTTCATAAGCATTCATGCTAATATATCCAAAAATGGATATTGCCGCTCAATGTCTTCTCTTCAACAGCTTTGTTAACAAATTCGTTTAACTAGCCTCACTTTGCTTTTATTTTTAAAGACTAAAGCAAGGGAAATACAGTCGTGGAAAAAAGTATGGAAGCGCTAGAAAATTTTTTCTCAATTCTTAATTTTTCATTCAAAAAATACGTTCTATATACCAATCGAAAGCTCTATTCGTATCTCAGTTGACATGTTTCTGCATTTTTCATGAAAATGAAAATTGGCCGAGATAATCCGTATCTACCGGATATACCAAATCCCATTTTTTCGGAAAAATTTTTCGGAACAAATTTAACAAACCCAAATGATAAAGCATATTTTTGTAAGCATTTTCCACAAAACCGCTTAGAAATATCTTTTTCCGGAACAGAGATATGATTTTTTGAAAATCGCATTTTTCGTCAATTTTTGCAAAAAATTCGATTTTTAAGGGAAAAATACGATTTTCAAAAAATCATATCTCTGCTCCGGAAAAAGATATTTCTAAGCGGTTTTGTGGAAAATACACAGAAAAATATGCTTTATCAAATGGGTTTGTTAAATTTCTTCCGAAAAATTTTTCCGAAAAAATGGGATTTGGTATATCCGGTAGATCCGGATTATCTCGGCCAATTTTCATTTTTATGAAAAATGCAGAAACATGTCAACTGAGATACGAATAGAGCTTTCGATTGGTATATAGAACGTATTTTTTGAATAAAAAATTAAGAATTTAAAAAACTTTTTCTAGCGCTTCCATACTTTTTTCCACGACTGTATAATTTTTGGAGGGTTTTAGCTCTGTATTCCTTAGAAATTTTCAAGCTCAAACTACAATTACATATATTATTCTGAAGTTTATTTTTTAACTATGAAGCCTTTAAATCACAATAAAAGTAAAAATTATTAAATATTGATGTTATTTATTAATACCAAGAAATATGTATACAATGTAACAGATAAACGCAACAAGACCCTTTCTTATTAGCTTAATATTTTTCTTATTAGCTTAATATGTATTCACATTTAATCCTCATTGCGTTTCCATAGGCATCAAATCCGAAGCCATAATTATTATACTTCTAATTAACGATTATTTATTTTTTAATTTAAATTATATTCAATTCTTTACATCGTTTGAAATTGAATATAATTTTAAATTAAAAAATTAATGATTATACTTAGTATAATTCAAATAAAATCCCACTATATAGAAATACATATAAAATTGATTAACAAATAATTATTTCATAGGACACTTAAAACTAATGACCGAACAAAATCTTACCAAAATTCTGGCAATTTTTCAGCCCAAAATTCAGTCCAACCATATTTAAGACTTATATGTATATTTAGTTAATGATAGAATCGAAATTCTTTACAGCCTTCTATTAATTCATACGATCAAATTACACATTTATATGCATACAAATAACTTAAATTTTGAATGTAAAGTTATTTGATCCTTTGTTTTTAGCCATTAACAAAATTTTTATTAAAAGCATTTTTATTTGTAGGCTTGAAAAATTGAAAATAAACATTCATATTTTAAAAAATTTATTTAAATAAATCAATTTATTTAAATTATTTAAATAAATTTAAGGACTCAAATTTTGGATAAAAATGGGATATTCTTCATAATATATTTACATATTCCTATAACGTGCAAAAACATTTTTAGCCTTTTCAATTTCAAAAATTGAAAATATTCATTCATCCACTGAGGCGTATTTTGCATTTTATCACAAATAATTATTTAAAGTTCCAATTTATTTTAAACTTGCAATTTCGGGAGGGATTTATCATAGGTATTTTTCAACGTTTTCAAATTCTCAATATTTACAGAAAAATTTTCATAGCTTGTCACTATATCTTCAATTTAATATTCTTTAAATTTAACCTGCTCCTTCTTATAAGTAACCTCCCTTTGGGAATACTATCCTGGCTTTTTAGAAGAGTCGATTAAAACCTTCATTTTAAATTGACTGAAGTGAAGTATACTTCTTATTTCTACATATAACATTAAAATTTTTTATGAAGGAATTTTTATGTAAATTTAACCTGTTCTTTATAACACCTTTAAAATCCTCATTTTAGAAATTAGAGTATTTTTAGAAAAATTATACGCGTATTTTCTCGCTTAATTCCCCGCCTCAGAATAATTCCTCACTCTAGATTAATTCCCCATGCCAGGGATGGATTGAAACTATAATTCTTCACCTCCAAGTACTAGTTTGTTCAAAACTCGAATAATTCCCTTCCCTCATATAATTCCCAATCCCAAGGAAAGGTTCAAATATTAATTCCCTGGGGAATTATTTGAGGAAATATGGTATGCTTGTTCAAATTTATTTTCACGTTATTTTTTACTTAATCTTTCTGTTTTCAAAAATATCTTTTAAAAACTGGCCTAAAAAGACACGCAAATATTTCAACGAAATCACTCAAAAACTTCTTATGAGCAACTGTTTTAAATTAGCTTTAAATCAATCACCTTTTCAATTAAATAGTAAACTACTATTAAGTATTTAAAAAAAGAACAAATCACAAACAATCAGACACAGGAATGCATTTAAAAAATCTTCTGTTTAACTTTATTAATAAGCATGTTACATAGTCCCTAAATTGAATTTCTACAGCAAAAACTTTGTAAAATCCTTGTATTTGACTGAATATTAATATGTCAAACGTCTTGGATATTAGTACTTATAACAACAGCAAGAACGGCAACACATCTTCAATAATAATTTTAAGCGAACACTCTCAACAACAGGAGCAGAAACAAGAGAAGTGCCTCGAAATGGAAGCATTATTTTCTGGTTTAAACAATTTTTTTCGCGATGATGACATTCTGAAGGAATCAGAACATTCATCAGAGTTGGTTAGAAGAAATAAAGCGATCATAATAAAAATATAAATTTTTAGCTTGGAAATCTTATTTTTACCGCTTATTTGTTAGTAATTGCATTTGGCTCAATTGGTAATTTATTAACTATAATGGCTGTTTTGCGCAACAAACAAATGGCTTGTTTTTATTTTCTATTTTTAAAATAATAAATTTGACATTTCAGAGAACTGTGCGCAACTTCTTCATTCTTAATTTGGCACTTTCCGATTTTTTTGTATGTACTGTTACAGGTCGGTGAGTTGAGGATCTTTTCACAAATAGTTATTCTTTAGCACCAACGACGGTGTACACCGTTCTTTACGTTTTCTGGCCGTTCAGTCGCCCTTTATGCAAAATTGCCGGAAGTCTGCAAGGATTTAACATTTTTCTGTCCACATTTTCAATAACTGCAATTGCATTAGATAGGTATCAACTCAAAAAAATTATCTTCAACTACAGATAATATTTTTAATATTACAATCATTTAAGGTATGTATTGGTGATTTTTCCGACAAAAAGACAACGACAGCAAAATCTTTCATTAATTTTTTTCTCGTTAATTTGGCTGGCATCTATTCTGCTAGCTGCTCCACTCTTCCTAGCTGCTGATATCAGTCCAATTTTTCATGACTCCCAATGTGGCATTGAACTTAACTTGTGCAATGAGCAGAATGAGCGATGGAAGGAGGTGAAATAACATTAGCAATTCCTTTCAAAAATATTAACCCTAGCTCTTGATAAGCAAAGAAGCTTATACAGTAGGTGTTATTATTCTTCAATATTTGCTTCCTCTTGCTTCGATAGCATTTGCCTATTCGCGTATTGCACGAAGAATGGGTACTAGGAAGTCTTTTCGGTGTGCAAGTGGCGGACGTGAAAGCCGAAAGAACAGTGTATTTTTGGTATGCTTATTAGTTAATTATTATAGTTTATTAGTTAACCTAAAAAATTTTTTCTACTAAAGAACACTCCAGTGTTTGGTTCCAACAGGAGTTCTTTCAATCGTCAAATAGCATCTGGAGGCGCTACTTCTTTCATTGCATCAGATAATGGACATAAGCACTCTAGCAATAAGCAACCGTTGGTTATCTCTACTAATGGCGAATATTCTCAGACGAATGGAAATCTCCAGAACGTAAATCCTTCTGCTGAAATATTGCTAAAGCAAAGGAGAAAGTGAGTGCCATATAATTTTACTAAATTTAAATAAAGTTGAATAGGTACACACAATTATTTAATTATAGATCAATTGCTGACAGACATCGCCGCACAAATATGTTGTTGGTTACACTTGTTGTTGTTTTTGCTTGTGCATGGCTGCCATTAAACATATTTCATGCGTAATATTTAATTTATCCTTTATTTTCCCTTAAATCACATTTTAACAGGTACACGCTTTTGTTCAACAAATTTTCCAAGACGGCTTCATTCTCTGTACCAATTTTTGCAATTTGGTTTGTTTAATTTTTATGAAACTTATTCTGATCTTTAAATACTCATAGCCATTTAACGGCAATGTGTTCAGCATGCTTGAATCCCTGCTGTTATGCATTCTTCAATAATAATTTTCGACAGGAATTTCTAGCAATGTATCGGAAACTTGGTTTGATGTAAGTAAACTCGATTTTTATAAATTTTGTGATTTTTTTAGAACTCTTTATCGCTGTTTTGCTAGATTTACAAAGCGATTATGTCCCAGTACTGAAATAAATAAAGAAAAAAGTGTTGACGCAACACAAAGCAACGAAAACAAAGAATTAGGTACGTCACCATCTGAAAATGAAACAAATCAACATCTACAGCAAACAATCCAAGGGGTTCTAAAAAATTCAAAGGAAAAGAGTTGTGAGGTACTTAATGTAAAGATGGAGAATCAAACGAAGAATCCATTAGAACTATGCGAAACTTTGATAGAGAAGCCGTCCAATCTTGCTAAAACCATCCAAATGGATTTATAACGTAATTAAAGGATGCCTAATCTTTAGTATTTAATCTCATTTTCTAATAAATTTCTGAAAATTTATTTATTTCTTTTTTTATAAATAACGAATAAGAAACTTTTTGAAAGAAATTTAATATAGGTATGTATATGCTGGGTCTTTCTTGTTAATTACTTAGAAATTAGGATTGGACTGATATTTAACTAAAACTCAAAACTGAAGAACGGGCTTTTAAACTTGGATTAACCGAAACCGGAGGTACCGAATAACCCGTCATGTCCATCCCTATATAAATAATATATATTTTAAGGGGTTGTAAAATGTTTGGGAAGAAAAGAAGCAGGTGTAAGAGTTGAGGGGACATCAGAATTAAATTTTTTTGACTCATTTTCTTTCCCGCCTTCAATAAAAGATTGTGATAGTACCGATGGCGGGGGTGAAGCGATTGTTGATTGCGAAGTTGTCGAAGTGAAAAACGAAAGCAAGAGACGCTGAGCTTGTTGAAGCATGAATGTTGGTGTTTGCTGTTGTGTTGGTGATTGCTAAATTTTTGTTTGTTATAAATTTCTGTTAAATAATATTAAATTGTGGTTGTTGGCTATCGGTTTAAAACCCGAAGATTTTCATATTTCTTGCCAATAATTAACCATTTTTGTAATAAAACCGAAATTTTTGAAAATGAGCGATTTAAAAAAAATTCCCCATAAATACATAAAACCGATATTTAACTAAAACTCAAAATGAAAACCGGGTTTTTGTAATAGGATTAACCGGAAACCTGGGATACCTGTTAATAACCGATCAACCCCAATTTAAATATAATAATTAGAAATTTCTATGTTTATTAATGCTTATTACATTTATCGAAGAAGACTGCTCATAATGGCCATTTACTCCAGCAAGAGGGAAATTTGAGACAGCATATTGCTCAATATTTTGGTGTTGGAGTGATGGTAAAGCTGGCAGAATAGATAAATTATTTTTTTGGTTGTTATTGGTTTGGTTGTCGGTTGGTTCGTTACAATCCATAGTCCCAATTATTCTTTTCCTAAAAATTAGAAAATTTTATACTGGCAAACAAAAGTTAGGATCCCTAAGTATGAAAATTGTTATAAAATCATTCTTTTCATTTTTAGAAGTTAGATGTTCAACTTCTAACCTCACAATTTAAATGTACTTTCATTCTTTGATAGAAAAAATTTCCCAAAATCCCTAACCTTGTTATTTCTCTCAACTTTAAATAGATGACCTTTTTAGTGTGGACAAAAGTAATGATCCCTATTTAAAAAAGATATTGACAGCTTTACTCCCGTTCAACATTGATTTTGAGGTTTTATTTTTAAAAAGGAAGTTGAACAATTCACTTTTTTAAAATTTTCATGCCCTGGATCATTACGTTTGACAGATATAAAAATTATTTTTGTAAAAACACAAACCACTTATTTCTCCGATTCTGAAACCATATCTTCACTTGTGTTTCAGTAAGGCTCAGTGTTCTAGCCAAATCTGTACGTTGCTGACTGTTGAGATATCGATGTGCGTTGAATGCTGCTTCCAACAGACTAACCTTAACAAATTGAAATATACTATGTACTAATAGAGACGGGATAAGAGAATCGTATGAGATATCTCAATGAATCTCGAAAAACTAAAATTTTTGTCCTACGATACATAATCTCGATAACCGAGTTTTTATTCAAGATTTTGTCTCGATCCGGTTTCAAATACTAATAATTAAGCGTTTTGTTACCTGGCCTCTGGAGAATACAGTACGAGTTTTTTTCTTTCGTATTCCTGTAGCTGATTCACTTTTTGATGAGTAAAAAGATTTAGTAGAGGGCATAACTCCAGAACTAGAAGGAGGTTCTTCATCGCTAGCCTAAATTTATTCGCAATAAGAAAATAAATTTTAAAAACCTCACGGGACTCATCACCTTCATCCGATTCATCGCCCACTGGGCTTTCTTCATTTAAAGAGTTTTGCCTAATAGCAGTAGAGATGTCGCCCTCACTATTATCTCTTTCTCCTGTCATAAATGAGAGGAAGTTCTAAAATTATGTATGGCTGATTAAATAAGGTTATTTAAATTAGTATAAACTAGGGTTGGACATGACCGGGTTTAAAACCTAGAATTTTGATATTTCTTACCAAAAATTAACCATTTTTATGAAATTTTAAAACCCAAAAATTTTTAAAAATGAGTGATTTTCTTTAAAAATCTCCCATAATAGAACTAATATGTAATTAAAACTCAAAATTAAAATCGGGTTTTTAAATTTGTATTAATCGAGAACAGGTTAATAACCAGTTTTGTCCAACCCTACTATAACATCTACTAACCTGATGATGTTGTTGTGCATCCATTATAAGTTGAAATTGCGGCAAAATTGCAGCAGAAGCAGCCATTTTCTTTTTTAATTCTAAAATTCAGAATTAATTTTTATATTTTATAAAGAAGCGCTTGAATATAAAGGAAAATTCAGTATTATTTTTAAAGAGTTTAATCAAATGTAATAATCGCTTTTTATTATTGTTGCCCAATCCGCCGCTCATTAATAATTATGTGCCTTTTAAGAAAGAAAAATGCCCGAAAATTATCCAAAAAATAACAAAAAAAAGCTTTGAACGCCGCTCCTTTGTGCATGAAAACCACTCGAAACAAAAACAAAAACGATTGCGCATCGTTTGTGGTGATTGAAAAAAAAGATGGATAAAAAAGCCAAGAGTAAAAAACAATAAAGAAAAAATAACACAGTAGGTGAACAATTATTTAATTATTAATTTTGATGAGTTTCTATTGGGCCCCTTTTTAAATCCACTTAGAAATGCGCGCATATCAGGTCTATTAAAAGAGAACAATAAACGTAAGTTAACCGTTCAACAAAAATTTCCCTTTAATGTTTTAAACACAGCAGGGAGCGAAAATTCTTTTATCTATACAATAATTTTTACATAAATATTTTCCGAATGTTAATCCTTAATTGTTTAGATTAGATTAAAAGATGGTTGAATAAACATTAAAAATTTACTAAAAAATATTTGTATTAAGGTAAGTTTATAACCAAGTTTATTCACCTATCTTATCTAAAATTATAGTACTGGAATCTGCCCAATATTTAAAAAATTCCTTAAACAAATAATTGGGGTTTGCTTTTAGCAAAAGAAATTTGTTTTCAAATAAATTTATCCAATTATGTATCGTAATCTACAATATTTGCACTCACTCTTCTACACTTTTTAATGAAAATTCCCCCTAATTTTTATAGTCAGCTTATATCCCGAGGGCATTTTTGCGATTACTTCTTGACACCCCCAAAACAGAGTTTAATATTGTCATTTGGGCGGCTAATTTGTTAAGAGTCGCCAAATTAAATTATCATACTCCTAACAATAAACGGACATACATATTAATGAAAAATGAATTGTAAAATACAGTATATGGAATAATAAGAGGGCATTCTGATATGTGAGTTAATTATCGTATTAGAATAAAATTAAAAAGGTAAAATTTGAAATATGTAGTTACATAAATTAAAAAGTAAATTAATAGTTTATTTAATGGCCTATTTTAAAATATTTTTCTCATTAATTAGTGTCACCCCTCAAAATAGATATTCTCTTTTTAATGGCAATTGATGAGAAAAGTAAACATAATTTTGTCTCAATAAAATTTGTTATTGAAACTCAACTCAAATGAAGATACCTAATTAAGTTTTGGACAAACATTGAACGAATCTATTGTATTAAAACTAATAATGAAAATATTATAGTGATGAGAAAGGGAAGTGTTACAAAAATATACAACTAGATAGTACTTATGATTAAAAAGAAGCGGAAGCGGTATAATACAATAAATTACTAATAAGAAATGTAACAATAAATAAACAGGAAAAAAAGTAGAAGAATGTGTAAAAATGGGAATATTTTATATTTAATGTTTCGAGTGCTTCCGTTTATTATTAAGAAATTAAATCGGAAATTAGAATAATTTCGCCAATAAGATTGATCGGAAAAACAGAGAATATCAGAAGTTAATTTTAATATTTTATTACCTTCCAATTGATCATTTTTTCCAGCAACAGTAGGAATCGCTGTCATTGCTTCACGACCTCTAGCCAACATATGATCTAAAGTTGCCGGTCCTCCAAGTTCCTGCTAAATTACATACATTAATTGTTAAAGCTATGATTTTCTATTTATTTAGATAGAATTGCTAATAAAAATCTAATTCTTAAACCTGTTGTGATTGTTGTTGAATGAAAAAGGCGGTAACCAAATTTAATTGTTGTTGCCAGGCTGATGTTGTTATTGGAAATGTATTTGTTGGCACTTCGTCATGATTTTGTTTGCCAATTAATCTATGTTGTTGGTATTGATTTTGAGGGAATTGTTGGTGATTACGTAAAATCATGGCATCAGGCGAGTTAGAATTTGAACTAAAGATTGATAAAAAACGGAAATAATTTAGTTTAGAGATTTAAACAAATGGTTAGAACTATGTTGAATTAAGTCAGGTTTCGTTTAGCCCCCGGGAAAAAGGGGGCTTAAACCACAGTACTACCAAAAAATCTATTAACACGGGTTAAGTCCGATTTTTTTAATCTCCAGATACCCCCCCCCACCATTTTTACAAGCTTATTTGTATTTTAATTTGATCTTTCGACTTACGATTTCTCTATTTTAGGCAAACATAACGAAGCATCATTGAGTTGCACGTTATGAAGATTTTCAAAACTCTCGCATTTTAAAGTTTTTTTCATTGGGGGTTCGTAAAATTCCTTTATTTCATTAGATGTTTTAGAAGAGATGAAAGTAGCTGATCGGCGCCTGTGGGTACTACATGATGGTCGAGAATCAGTCAACAACTCCTAAAATTGAATATTCCCAATTCAAGATAATTCAAAAAATTTATTCCCGAATTTTTTCTGATTTAAATTTAGTGAACCTTTTTAATACTAAAAACAACTTACTACTATAGAAAATGCTTTTCGCTTTTCGGCTTCGTCCTCTTCGAAATGAGGCTCCTGCTTATTGTGTGATAATACAGAACTATTTGCTGCTGTTTGAGAGATATTATTTGAAGAATTTTTTATGACCTCCTTACTATCAGGACTCGACATTTTGTACAAATAATAAAATATTGACTGTTTTTAAATAAAAATTATATTTAGATAAGATTAAGAAATATTTAAAGATTTATGTATTAGAAAATGTGGAATGTAAAACAATAATGACAATAATGAATCATCATATAATTAATAATTATATGTAGTACATAACAGTAAAAATTATCATTAAATCTTCATACCATATCCTATAATTCTTATAACATACATAATATTATACTTATAGTAACATTCATGTCATGCATATTCATTTCCTATGCAAAGTCGGGCCATTAATTACATAACAATAATCCTTTTATTAAGAAACATATTTTAATCCCATGTGAAATTGATGAACCGCCTTATACCTTTTCTAATTTTGACAAAAATTATTTTTACCCTTAAAAGGAAAACAAAGACGCTCAGATCGGAAATATCGACATAATCTAATTATTGAAATGGGATAATCTAATTATTGAAATTTACTTAAAAATAATTATCGTAATTAAACAGTTAAAAATTATAAAATATTTAATTAAACTCCACAAAGGATATAAAAATTAATCCACGAGTTAATTAATGTTTTGTGTTTTGTACAAATCAGAAAAATTTTAATCTAAATTAGTTTTACTTTATAATAATGAATTTGCTTTTTTCCGACAAACAAGCGTGAAAATCAGTGCATTTGAAGGTCGTACTTTAAATGCGCAATACGAAAAGCACTTAGGATTGTTAAAATAACTAATTTTATTGCTTGTTTTAACGGTAGAAAAAGCATTAATTGATAATTTTTCGTTATGATTGTTGAATCCATTAACAAATTAAGGAGAATTCGTTTATAACGTCGTGTAAACAATTAAGAAAAATAAACTTTTTATTTAAGAGATTTTGCGATAAATCTAATGTAAAATACTTTTTAAAAAGTTGGTAGTTTTTGATTAAGATTTAATCAATTAATTCTAACAAGGTTTAATTTTTTTTACTTGTTTACAGTTAACGGATGTTAACAATTTTTTTATATATTTTTTGAAAGATTTATTCCTAGTCTATAATATACCTAAACAAGTTTAGCTACGTTCCGGCAGCTTGACTGTTTTCAATCTGTTTAGAATCAGAGCATTTCAAATGAATCCCGGACCTATAAATCAAAAAGGAGTGGGTAATTATTAATGTTCTTGGTATGTACATATATATAGCGAAAAAAAGCGACCATTCCTTCATAAGTTATTTATAAGGGCCGGAAATCAGTTTAGGTATACCCGTTTAGAATAGAATAAAAGTACTACTTTCAAATTTTTGCGCCTAAATTACTCCACCTTATCTCAAAAAATAAAATAAATTTTTCTTTCTATTAAAATTCACAATTTAGTAATTAGTTTTCACAAAAAATAACAAAGAAAATATTAAGAAAATTATACAAAGTAGGATAAACGCAGGTTTGAGAAAATATATTCAAAAATGAAAAACATGTCAATCGAGAATGGCACAAACTTGCAATTAAATAAATATGAGTACGTGTAAAGCTTAAAGTAAAACAATTGTGTCTAATAGGCGAATGCTTACAAGTGGAAAAGTATACTGTCATTAATTTGTTAAATAATGTTAAAGGAGAATTGAAATATTTTTAAAAATTGGTATACCTAGAAATAAGAATATTGAAGGTATCCATAATTAAAATTATGAAGGAAAGAATTGAAAAATTAGTGACAAATTTATTACTTATTTTGTAAAATCGGCAATAAATTAGGTAAACTAAAATATAAGACAAATTGTGTTTAGTTAATTTTGGCCCGCCCGATCCCCATCAATTACTTTATTTTTTTCATCTTCGCGTAATTGGTTGGCTGCCCAAATTTTTTTACATGCATACATAGTACATATGTATATAAAGTGAGGGCGGAGTCTATAAAAATCCAGAATCCAAAGGCATTTAAATAATATAATTTTATAACTCAAGTAAGTCAAGACGCAATTTTTTACTCTTTAAATTTAAAAAAATAATAAATAATGACAAAAATAAAATTTTTCATACTATATATTAAAGCACGCTTTGGACTTAATCCTAGGATCATACAATAATGTATTTTATTTAGACATACATTGCAGCAACTCCTTTAAGCGCTTAAGCAATCCACTGGGTTAAATTAAAGAAAAAATAAGAAAATTCTCCAAATTAATTGGCACTTTTTACTTCACTTAAATAAAACCATTTCTTACCAGGAATCATAACTTTAAAAGTGTGAAAAATTGACAAGGATAGGATTAGATTGAAATAGAATTAAGAATAAAATGACAGGAAACGGTGAAAATTTTTCCAAAATTAAATAGGACAGGACTAAGCAACAACATTATTTTTTAAGCATGTTTAGTTTTAGTGGAGGGAAAAGTCAAGTAATAAATAAATAGCATACATATATTAAATCTTATTTAGGCGCGACTCAATTTTTGACATTTCATTATTACACATTTTTATTCATAAGGACGGAAACAACTTTTGGTAATTAATTTTAATTCACTCTCATAACTAAATCTAATTTGTTAGAAAGGCTGGAAAAATAAGTTAGTATTTTATCCATTGGATTATTAATAAAAGTGCATTATGAATAATTCTGGGATAGATAATGAAAAATAAGACAAAAAGAAATTTTATTCGTGTATGATAATATTTAATAAAAGAATGAATTTTAAATTTTTAAATTACTTTATACAAGTTAATTGCAAAAAAATTCTAAAAATATTTTTAGGAATGAAATTTGATACCTTTGATGAAAGACGCAAAAATCTGCATAATTGCAGATCCCGAGAATATGAATGAATTTAAAGAATAATAAAATTCAGTGCCGATCATCCGGATGCTCATTAATTTAAGAGTGGGTCTAAAGAATATTTAATAAATGAAAGGATAGAAAAGGGCATAAATGTTCGCTAATGTATAACCTTCAAAATTAGGAGGCCAAATAAACTATTCTTTTAAGAACAAAAATAAGTTCAAAAAATATAAACTATTGTTAAATACAAAAGGGATAAATGAGAAAGATAATTTTAAAAATTAAAAGAATACTGTGTGAGGATATATAATTAAAAACAAGAAAAGAATAGGATTTAGTGGGCTTGAGAAAAGATATGAACGGGAACTTTTGAACCACTATTGGATATAATTTTGTCTCAACTTATAAGGCGTTAGTAGGTGAATAACCAAAAATGGAGAAAATTCGAAGCTACATAGATTAGCCTCAAAATTTTAATAGATGTGATGTAGGGTTTGATATATTAAGTTGTAAAGTGTCAAGTAATCACTGTTATTTTTATAAAATTTTCAGTCAAAACATATGTTTAGAAGCTCTAAAAGTAATGAAATATTGGTAGTTTATTTTCTTATTTTATTAAACAAAGGATAAAAAGAATTATTCTTTATTTAATAATAGATAATGAATCTTGTAAAACTTTTTAGGAACAAAGGGAGAATATTTTTAATGTAGCCTCCAAAACTTTGCTGAAAAGAAAGGGGAATAATACAGACGAATTAAAAATTATAAAGGATTTAGTGAAACTCTTAAATTATTAAGAAAATTCTTGCCAAAATTTGAAATTTTTAAATTAAATCTTATCAAGTATTCATGAATTATTTAGCTTTTATTGGTCATTTTTTATTTGTACTCTGTAAATTAAAAAAAAAGATTTATAGCATAAAAATGACTCAAGAAAATCTAGTAAATTATTAAGTCGAAGAAAATATTTTTTTACTTAATTTTGAAAACAAAACAGCGTGACTGTCTTAAAGACACACTTGACTTTAAAGTTAATTCATGCGTTTGATGATAAACAATTAAAGTCATGCTCAATGAATGTGCATTAACCTTGTTATTTAATTTTTTAAAGCGGATGAGGAAGGAACGAGGAAGAAGTGTAAACATCTTTGTTTTTCTTCCGCCAGTTGATCATTTTTTGTGCCAGATTCTCTCAGCTCTAAACTGTGGCCGCTAAGAAAATTTGTTTATCATTCAGTACAACAATTAAAATAATTGGCACTTTTCACATAAGCATGCAATTTGTTTTAATGTAATTGTATTTGTTTTCTATCTGTCGACGTTGTTAATTTTTTTTAATTTATAAGGAAAACAATTACAAGAAAACAATTAATGCTTGCGTCTTCATTTAAGCATTCACATGCTTATACTGTTGACATTAAAATTAAAAGGGAAATTAAAACATTTAAAGGGAAAGTAGTTTAGTATTTTGATAGTCAGGGAAGTAATCACAAAAAAAGAAAAACAAATTTCTTATTTTTTAAATCGTTATAAATATGTACACGATAAGGAATGTAAATGCACATACAAAAAAGGCCAATTCTTTATAAGTAAAATCTAATTAATTCGCCCATTTCCTTTATCCTTTATTTTTATGTTCATCTTCCTAAAAACCATTAAACTGCAGATGCTTTTAATGTACAAGCGTACTAATGTTTTTTAATGATTGACATCCAGCCGGTTGGCTTCAGTCAGCTGCCTTAATTTCCAAAAACAAATTCTACAAAAACTGCTAATTTGTCTTTAAACATGCTTTGGTTCCTTAATAGCCAAAAATATTTGCCATTACAATTACGCTTTAATTAGCTTGTACTATTTCATAAATTAAATATTAGCTTTAACATCAGTCGGAGCAGTTCAATCCCGGCTCAGTTCAGTCCCGATCCTATAACTCTTGAAGAGATGGTCATCTTCATGTTCTTCGTATCATTATATAGATTAAATACACTATAAGGTTTCAAATAATCACACTCTTGACTGACTGATAAAAAAGTTGTGATCTAAAAACTAACTGTTTCAAAAAAAATGCGGAAAGAAACAAAATTTAAATTGGTATATTGAAAGATAAGTTTAAAATAGAAATGCATTCTCACCTCTTAAATATTTATTCAAGTATATCTTTAATCGCCTTACTAGATCCATAATCTAAATTGCTTGGGCATTCCATAAAAATCCGAAAAATTCTCGGATAAATACATACGCATCAACCAAATTCAAAAAAGCTATAAGCTACTAAATGATGTAAAAGTAATGGGCTTGTTTATCGATAAAATATTAATAAAAACTAAATTTCAATTTAAAGAAAAATTTGAATGAAATTTTATTCAATAATAAAGCTTATATTGTTAAGAAATTATAAGTGTAATAATTATGCGTAATAGATAAAATGGTTAGAAATAGAGGCACAATTAAATATAATAGTAAAAATGCACGTTGTGCTACAAAATAATGAATCTACGTTCCTACAAGAAATTTTAAGCGTTCTTCTGTGTGTGATAGCGCTGTTCGAGTCGGCGTTTCAAATCATGCCAAAAGCAACCTTTCATGTTCTGAAAGTAATTATTTATGAGGAAAAATTAATTTCTTGTTAAAATGCCTCAAAACGATCATAGCAGCTGAGATATGTCATATCCAATTGAGTTACATTTCCGGGTATCTGATTACAAAATGTCAAGCATCTAATAAAAGAAAATATAAATTTAATTTGTAAATAAATTAAAAACAAACTTTTCGCCAGCCATAGTGTTGGCAACACCTAAAAGATTTATTTAAGCTAATGCTTGTTTTTTGTTTTAAGAAAAGAAAGTGATGTGTAGTTTACCCCGTAACCGATAAAAAAGCATTTCAAAAATGGAAATATGATAAAGATTAAGTGCCTACCATTGCGTGCACAACATTCTCGGTGATCTCGACCCTGCGCTGCGCAAAATTGCATGTCTGCTGCTGCCTAAATAAGTACATTTAAATTAGAAAATAAATCCGCATATCCTAACGTAAGATGAAAGATTATGACTTGAAATTTAGTCTTGAAACCCCAAAAATTACTTACTTGCATTGGGCATGAATCCATACGGAAGTACATATTCTAAATTAAATGAATTTTATATGAAATAAATTTTAAGAATCAAGGGTTTACATTTTTGAAAATAAAAATACCTGAAGAGCTTGACGAGTAAAAGAGACGAATGAGCATTTGCTGAGACATTGGTCAGGCTTTAAAAATATTTACAAAATACAATTATTTTACTCGTGTTTTACCAATTGTCGCGCCTGACAACAAGCCATAAAGCGTGCGTCTGGGCTGTCTAATGGCCTGTTTTCATGCTCTTCTTCGCCACCCTGTAGATACAAAATTATAATTTTGGTTAATATTGACATATTAAAAACTACAATTTTTCTAGTTTTAACTGAACAATTTAATAAATAATGTTACTTCAAAGCCCTCCAAATCTTTTGAGTTGATCTTCAGTGTCCTAGAAGATGCAACCCTCGCTCTGAGTCGATAACATCCATACTGGCCACAACCTTAAAAGAAATTAATGAAATAGATTCTTAAGTTTTGTCCAAAACTTTCATACCATATCCAACCCCACATTGTGCCGGTATACATGGAGGTGGTGGTGGTGGCAAACATCCAACTGAACATAAATAATTTTTTTAATTAACCGATTATTTTTTATTTTATTTTTGATTGCTTTTTATTTTTAAATTACCTCCTCCACCACATATTCCTGAAGCAAAACAAGCGTCACTCAAATGGTTATGATTGAGGAATAAAAGTATCATGAATGAGTAAAGAAATAGTCGAGTAAAGTATGTAAATTTTGTTGTAATTGTAGTTTCGGGCATTGTAGTTTCTTTTAGTAAATTTGAAATAAAGTTGAAATTGGATAGTTTTTTTCTATTAAAAAATAAAATGCAAAATTTATAATAAATCCTCAATGAAAAAAATATAATCGTTGCACGATAGATGATGGACGACAATAAAAGGATAGCAACTGGCCATTCAATGCGCGACCAATTTTCTCCCAAAAAATAATGCTGGCCATCCGGCTTTGGAAAATTAGGCCGGCTGTATGAAATCTAGAATTTAAGTTAAGCCGCGCAGTTATGGAATCGCGGTATCTAACGTCGCCTAATCCCAATTTTGCACTATTTCTTTTGGCAACTATTCACGAAATTAAAAAAAAATATTTCTAGCATAGATCGATTGAATTTTCACATGTCTCCCTAAATATCCCTAATTTGTATGAAATACAATTTTTGAAACATATCTTCTATTTTCTGGTTATAAAAGAAAATATGTATAAAATTCTTTCAAATTTGTATTTCAACAGATTAGTCTAATCCCTGGAAGTGGACAATGTCCAGAGTGATTGATATTTCATGACTTCACAAATTCTCTTTACTAATCCCTCTTCTCTCTCATTGTACATATTTCCAATTCTAAATAAGGAATCACTTTTTCTAACATTAAAAAAGGAAGAAGCTTAAATAGCGTAAATTGGTTATTTTGAAAGTGTAGACAAGTTAATAGATGATGGAATAAAAGAAAAGCGGCTTATTATTAGATTAAAAATGTGTTAAAACATTTTTAAATATGTATTTGAAACGGTCATGTTTCATTCAATAAAATTTTTGTTATCGTTTTAAACTAAGAAAATTGATTAATTTGTCCCTTTTTAAAATCCATATTAAAGCTAAAAACCATGGAAACGATATTGTATCTAATGATAAATTTTAAAAAAGAATCGAAATATTTTTTTAATTGGATTTTAGGGAGGAATTTACCATAATTAAGAAATTTGCCATAATTAATTTTAAGAAAGCCAAAAACATTTGAAATTGGTGTTAGAAAAGGAAAAAATTTCATATTGCCTTTTGAAATAGCTTTTCGGCTAATATATTTTATGCGCGCAATTTCCTTTCACATTTCCAAATTTATAATCGTCTATTGCCAGTCTCTATGGGCGTGTATTTAACCGTTGGTGGCGTTTGTGGTCAGAAAATTGGTCAAAAAGGATAAGGTTGGACGAAGAAAAAGTTTTTTTTGTATGTTTGTATTAATTCCAGGCAGTCATGCTTGCATGGTTTTGTTGAGTTTCTATTTGTTACGATTAAACATTAGTATGATTTAAGATGAAAATTAAATTTGCACTTGTATATGTTGCTTTTTGGTACTTTTTGATGATTGTTTATTCTGACCGGTTGGCAATATAAAAATTGCAAATAAAAAAATGACCGGTGTTGTTAGAGGACGTAAAGAAAAAATTGAGAAATGATGAATCAAAAAAGATACATTAGTAATTGGTTTTGACGAGAAAATGGTTATGAATTTATCCTGTTATTCGCGTTTGTATGTAAGAAAGTATTAATTTGTAAAAAGTAAAATGAAACATTGAAAGAAACATGCAAATTAATAAATTAGTATGAGTGTAGGGAAATGTTTTCTGATCATCTGAAGCAATCAAAAATTTGTTGAAAGGCAAAAATTTAGTTGAAGACAGACGATAGGCACGAAGGACCAGTATTATTTGGGATAATGCAGAATGTGAATGAGGTAGTCAGAAAAAAGAAAGCGATAGGTAGAAATGAAACGCGTTTTGATGTTTGTACGTTTGGACGAAAAATCCTCGTAAAATTCCTTGTTCATGATGGGAATTTTAGCCTTTAGCGAATACCTGTTTTAATCTTCCTCCTAAGAAAGTAAAAAAGGTTGAGGAGAAAGGTGTGCTAATGGTAAAATGAAGATGAAAAATGTAAAAAGGAATTGTTCTCTTTCAGATTAGAGCGAAAAAAATGAAAATTATGGGCTTTAAATTATTGCACTAAACTATTTTGAATATTTTATCTTTATCATGTCTCTTAATAAAAGATATAAAGTAGAAAAATAATTTTTTCTAGGTTTATCAATAGACTGAAAAAAGCTTTCAGAAATGTCATCTTTATCCTCACCTCGATTTGTTTTTATATCGAAGGTCGATATGTAATATTTTAGACGTTTGTTAACCGCTTTACGTCAGCGCTAAATTATATTAACACAAAAATGACTAAAATTAACATTTTATGTGATTCATCTAAAGCATTAAACAATGAATCCATCAAAATTGACCTTGAAGCCTTTTATCCTTTTTAATATTTTTTGTTTGATGCAAAGCAAATTCACCAGTAATAGTTTCCTTTGTTGTTTTTCACTTTCTTCTTTTACGCAAACTAAATCAAATTGCATTGTTATGTACGATTACAATAAAAAAAACATAGCTCAAGGTGGCTCAATTGTCAAGGACATCTGTGTAAAAAATATCCTCCTTTAACTTAACCCTTTGTAAAATTCTCCCTATGGCAAATTTATTAAAAAGGTAAGCACAATGTTCGGAAATGGGCGAAAATTAAAAAACAAGTAATTATAAAGAACGGGTGAGGTACAAAACACCTTCCGACAGAACACCTTCTGGACAAACCATCTTTGACCAAAAGTGGGCTTCCCTTTATGACTTTCACCCTTTTGACCATTTTTCTATTTTATTGTTTGTGACCATTTTATACTTTACTCAGTTAATGACCATTTATTTTGGGGTAGGGGATCATTGTGTACCGGCCGTTTGTGTACCTGGCCATATTTTGGGCCATAACTTTTTCAATTCTTAATTGATTTAAATAAATAATATATCAATTGAAAGCCCTGGATGTGAGGATTATTTTCGCCAACAGGATTGATTTGATCAGATAATCATACAACAAGTTACAGACAGATAAAGATCAAAATCACGATTGAGCGCATTTATCGAGATATAACTTTTTATAACATGATCTGATCAAATCAATCCTGTTGGCGAAAATAATCCTCACATTCAGGGCTTTCGATTGATATAATAATAATTGAAGTCGGTTAAGAATCAAAAAAGTTATGGCCCAAATTATGGCCAGGTACACAAACGGCCGGTACACAAGTGGGACGTTCCGTTTATTTTGGGACACGCCCAAAACAACGGAAATTATTTTCAGGAAATTATTTTCAGGAAAATGGTTCCGGAATAGTACAGATTTTCCTGAATTTTCCGGATTTTCAGGAAACAATTTTCCGGATTCCAAAGAAAGAATCATCAGAGAGTGATCAACTGATAAAGGTTGATCATCAGAAAGTGATTAATTGATCAACAGCAGATTTTCAAATTGAATGTACTAAATAGTTTTGCGTAGTTATGGGCGTGCGTAGTTTTGGCCTGCGTAGTTTCGGTCGCGTAGTTTCGGTCGCGTAGTTTTGGCCCGCGTTGTTTTGGGCTGTACCCATTTATTTTTGTTGTTTGCTTTTTCACGGTTTGTGTTTTTTGTGACGCTGTTTTTCGTGCTCATTGATTTTTGTAATTGTTTATATTTTATTTATTTTCACAAAAAAATAAAAATTTTGAGATTCTCTGAGATTTATTTTTGAATGACATCATATATTTCTGGAGTGTTGGTATTCAAAGCAAGTAATGGGGATACGGGATTGCTATGGTTTCCTTCGGATTGTCGTCAGAAACATTGTCAAACTGGTTTAGCGCTTTTTCAACTAGGGCAGTGGTTGTTGTATGACAGAATTAATGATATCATTGTTCGACCACTGGACGGTATGCCGCCTTATGAAACTCGCCTCTATCGGACTGAATCATCACAACGGGACGCGTTTGTCGAGGTTCTTTTTGCTATTAATATTATAAGATTTTTGCATCATTTACATTTAGATAAGTGTTCCTCTCGTCTTCTTTTCGGACAAGGTCTTCAACCAGATTGTCGCATATGCCCCTGGATTTGGGCGTGTTGGGTCGTTCTTTAGGCAAGATGCTAATTTGAAAATGGACTGTCTCTATCACGCATGGATTGCATTGTATTATTTTCTTCAACTATTTAAATTTAAAATAATTTTAGTTTTGGTCTCTATCGTGATCCAAATTTATTGACACTAATGAACACTTTTGATGTCCAATGGTTGCTCACATTTCTGGCTGAGCCATTTAGCACCAATGAGATGGTTAAATTTTTAAATATGAATATGTAGCTAATGATTATGTTGGTTCCTTACAACCCAAATTTTCCTTCTTGTTTTGTCGGAATTTTCTGACTTACAACCTAAGATTTGAGGTTATAAGCAAAACTGCATGGATATGGATACAGATAGTATCGAGACTGTTGATCCCCGCCGTATATGTCCGCATACGGATAACAAAATTCTTGTCCATGCCCAAGTCTGGTTATAAGGATGTCGAGACTTGTAAATAATTAATCTTACTTAGATAAGCTAGATTTTTTGAAATTTGATCGTTTATCCTTCAGATATCTGCTTCGGAATCAGGCATTGAATTAAGCCTTGTTAATGGAATTGTCATCAATCTTGTTGATGGTTTCGATGATTCCGGTGGTTCCGATAGTGGCAACGATAATCAAGAAAATGGCGACGAAGTACCACAACATCACACTTTCAAGATTGTCACGGTAATATTGATTTGTATTTTGTGTTATACTGTCTATTTTATCAGTTTTGGACACCTTGGCTGCACTCGATTTGTAAATACAAATATGACGAGACTGCTCATCCGAAGTTGGATTTCCGCGTTGGACAATGGTTTAAATTCATGCCAGCGTGAGTTGATTGAACAAGTTTATAACTTTTACAGCAAAGTCATTTCAGTGCTAACTGGTCGTCCACTGGTGTTGCGGTCAGTCCATTTCCAGTACAGGCGCCAAAAGGAATGAGTGTTATCGCGAGGAATCCTTTAAAGGTATTTTTCTATTGTATCATGTGTGGGTTCATCCTTTCAAAATCAATATTCATCAATTTAATCATTAATTAAAATTTACTTGCATATTTTTTAGTTACGAATTTCACACGCTCTTTACAATCTGGATCAGGACCCAGCTGCTTTTATCGGTTAATATTTCAAACATTTTTACCATTATCTTTTTTCTTAAAGTTCGCGTGCCGGACTGGCTTGGTGTTCTTCAATCCGGGAGAGAGTTTATTACTTCACTGCGCCGTGCTCGACAATCGCGTCCAAATTTTGCTCCTCGACTTATTGTAGAACTTAATGATGTTTATAATTGGGTGCTCCGGGACTTTGATGGACGCACTGGATCACCGATCCGTGTGGCACCAGCACAGGAAGTGATGGATCATGAGCCAGGCGATGTAGATGAGGAAGGCGTCGAAGTAAAGGAGAGTGACATAGAGGTTCCGAGACCAAGTATGAATTATTGGTTTTTAGTCTTATCCTAATTCTTCCAGCTGCACCAATTTTGACAGGCGGGTTTGGATATTCGAATCGTTCTACAAATATTCCTTTTGTTTCGTCAACACCAAAACTTTCAACTACTAATAATAATACGAACGATTTTGGGGACTTGTTGGATGACAGGAAGAAAGTACATTCAACTGATGGGGGATTTGGACGTTCCCGACACAAAGCTCGTCCATTGGGTCAGGTTTCACGTCCCGTGGTTAACAATGAACATTCAGCGGACAATGAACGGTCATTATTTTTTGTTAATTTATAAGTAGGGATTGCAAATTTGTTAAGAATTAAATATATTTTTGGGTTTTTAGTTCACAATCGAATATAAGTGAGGAAGCTAAAGAGAATGATATGACACATGATGTGGCCCAACCACCAACCTCCGTTAATGCTACTAGGGGATCTTTTGGTGGAAGCCGACGTGGTGCGAAGCCTCGACCGCAGTTTTCACGCGCTTCACCCAACCCACCTTCGGTATTCTATTTCATTTTTGAAAATTTTGAAATTTCTTTCAGCAGAGACCTCCTTCTCGACAGGAAGGCAAGACAACTCAACGACGATCTTCACCCATCTCATCACGCCATAATGGCACATTCTTGGATCAATGCAACAAGCGTTCTGGCGGAATCGAGAAGAAGAACTTGAGCGGTGTCGTCGTCGCAAAAGCAACCAGCAATAATCGTAGCAAAAATGGAATAATAATGTTTGTTGTTTAACAATACTTAAACCTAATAAAGGACCTTAAATTTAATTTTTAGTTATTCGCCCGTTTTTCCGGAAGGTGAGATTTCTGTCCCTGTGTCCTTGTGTGGCGATTTGAGTGTTGGAAGTTGGGTCAAGTTCAATGCGTAAGTTCATTTAGCTTCTTCACTTTTTTTGACTCTGAACATCTATTTAGAACTATTATGGGTGAAAAGATCACCACTACGGATTTTGAAGTAGAGAAAACACCACCTTTTGAGACTAAAGCATGCGGAAATACTGTTAAGGTATGATTTAAAACTAAAATTCTTTTGTTAGATTTTTTTAGATCAAGCTCAATGCATATGTTCCGAAGAGATGGTACCCGCGTATGTCAACGTTCGTTCCAATAGTTGAGACTGATTTTGTTAAGGTTTTTTTAATTCACAATGTTTTTTCCCTGTCATACATATTCAGGTTGTCGATAGCAAAGGCCTATTTGATGAGACGTGTGCTAACCAGCAGTTGACAGTTTGGATTGAGAGGATGCTCGAAGGAAACTCGCAATACAATATTGTTTGGCATGTTGACCAGATCGATGAGTAAAATTTGATGATGGATATCAGTATCATTTATTGGCTTTTAAACATATTAGGTTGTAACGTTTAACATTTTTCCTAACTAACCTTTGCCTTAGTTTTGTAATTTTCCAAATGGATAAAATTCTTATAAATTTAAACTGTTACAACCGAAAGTTATGAACATTTGAATACAATTTTTGGGTTTATTCAATTAAATATTTATCGTACGGTATAAAAATGATCAATCTTATTAATTTAACTGGACCGGTTAGGCGATCATGTCTTATTTTCTGGCGTGTTGATATATATCAAATTAAAATTTTTAACATCAAATTTCTAACACTGAACGTAATCAATCTAATGTCGATAATTCCAATGCTATTAAACTCAGTCAGCTATGACTCATATGAGGCCTATCCTATTTCAGGTACATAGTCAGGAGGTTGAACCCGAGCCTGCTAAAAATTTAACACTTTGCCTGCGGCTGCGGGAAATCGGATTTTTGACACCTTCGATGTCAGAAGTATAGATTTAACAACTAGCAGAAAAATATGTTCTTAAGATTTATTTTCAAAAATTTATTCGACAATTTAAATATTCTGATTGAGCTAAAGAATCAGACGGAAAACAGTGTCGATAAAAATAACCAAATAATTTCCAATAAAATTTCAAAACAATAGGCATTTAACATTGCGATGTGACATATACTTTAGGATTCTCCTTCTATGTGATGTTGCTGCGGTTGAACCTCTTTAGTCTCGTTCTTTGACGCTTCCTCGGAATCACCAACCAACTCTTAAAATTAAAACATAAATTTTTAACTCTGAATAAAGCCCTATGTAAATAATCGTTTTCGCTATTATAACAAAAAATTTTAAAAATATGCGGGATGCTACTATCAAACTCCCGTCAACATACTAGACGGGTGCTAGCGAAAAATCCAACTAGATATAATCTTGCGTGTTATGAAAATGGACATGTTACAGAACATGACCATATAGAAAACACGCAACCCAAACGTTAACCACTAAACCAAGGTAAACATTTAACAGGATATGTTAAATCGTTAATATTTTAAGGGGTATCCGTTATAAAAATTCAAGTTTCTCTTTTTTAAAAATAAAACCTGGAACATCATCATCCGACGGCTTATACTGCGTAGTCACATTATTCGCTAATTTCTAAAAACAAATTTAAGTTTGTAGCTTCCAGACACCAAAAATAAAACCTTCAAGTGCGCAAGCGATTCAGCTCCAAGCTGGTTTAGAATGCCCGGCAACATGTCAGTTATACCTAAAATCAATTTTTATGAAAACTTGTCAAAGAAGACGAACGCTTGTTCTCCGCAGTCCCAGTGATCGAAAAAGTACTAAAGTAAAGATTGTAGATTAATATATAAAATGAACAAACTTAGCAGGCACTGAAGCTTGCACCTTCGGATTGTTGAAATGAATAACAGTCCCATCCTCCTTAATCATATTAACTTCTTCGATGCCAGGAATGTTCGTTACAGAAAGTTTCTTCAGGTTGCTCTGAAGCTTTTTGTCATCCAACGCTGTCGTTTTATGCACAACTTTCTTCTTTCTTCGGGCAGTCCCCTAAACATTAACACTCTTACTTGACAAGAAAAATTTTTAAAGTCTTTCTTATCGATAAAGTTCAATTTTTAAATTTTTATACAGAATGATAAAACAAAACCTTGCCACCAGTGCGAACATGTTCAGCATTCTGTTGGAGCTTTTTTATTTTTTCAGGATTCATCTTTTAATTTCAATTATAATATATTTAGGTTTTATATATGTCTAAAAGAAAAAAACTGATCAAATATTCATAAGATTAGTAAGGTTTCCATTTTCAGGAGTCTATTGTTTTGACTCCTGAAATGGAGCATCTATTGTTTTGCGTCTGAATGTTCCTCCGCTTTTGCGCCCTAAAGCAGCCAACTTAGACTTTTTCGTGCCAATAAATTGCCCCCCCCCCCTATGATTAAGCGCGTAAATAACTCACGTCGCATAGATAAAATAGGTAAGTTTAGTGACAAAAGATCAAGTGACGAAATGTAAAATAACAATTAGAAAATGTAAAATGACAAAAAATTTATTATGCCAAATATAGAAAATTTAAATTTTGTAATGTAATTCTTCAGTCTAGGATCGGAACAAATATCGGAATCCAGACAAGTTTCCCAGTATTTCTTCCCGATTTTGTAAAATTCCATGTAGTATGCCGTGTTTTTCGTCTATTTTTCTCGGTCCAATGCCCTTTGACCAACTGTCTTTATGTCCCATTATCTCACTGTCTAATTGTCGTCCCATAAATAGATTCCAATTGTAACAAATCTAAGTGCCGTGCAACAGTAAAAATTGAATTCCTTTTTTTAAGATTTTGTTCATCTTCTAACTTCTAATTGCTTTTGTTAATTTATAATTGTTTATTTACTACATTCTAATTGCTAATGGATTCTGTTGCTGAAAGTCCTATTAGTACCAGAAGGAGTGCGACAGACAATGCCTTTATTGTTCCAGTTGACGATGGAGAACATGTTACTGAATCATGGGTGAGCACGTTGTGGCGTTGGTGGAATGAACGTGTAATAAATGCACGATTGGTTTTTTGCTTCAATTTTTCTATTTGTTTCATTTTTCTTAAGACACATTACGACAAGGAGGAGCGTCTCACTTTCATTGCTCAGCGGTTTGCACGAGTCTTAACCGCTTTTTTTGATGAACGTACAAAAGTGGAATTAAGTGGACATTTGCTTTGTGAACAAACAAAACTGCTTCTTGGAACTGATCCTTTGGCTATAGCGATTCGTCGAAAATATGGGTATTTTAGATCAATATATTCATAAAATCTTTTTTTTGCAGACAAAGAATGGCTGAATGGATTTCAATTTATACAGGATACATGGAGCAGCATGAGAAAACCAACAAACAGAAAAAATTGCCAACACAGCCCTTAGTGCCTATGAAGCTTACTGTTTCGAGATCCTTGGAGTTTTTGAGGAAAATACCACAGCTGCACATTGCTCTTCAAGATGGTGTTGACGACCTACTTGTAACTGTAAGTCTTATAGTTTGTTCTGAAAGTGAATTAACTTCATTATTGATATTTGTTATTTTTCAATTTTTCAGAACGTGCTTGGTGATCAACTGATGGGTTGTTTCCGTGGACGGCGTGACATTTCGGGTGCTATATTAGCGCGCATTCAGAATTTGGCAGCAACAATAACACAACAAATCACATGGTCCATGCTTATTGAACCAGGACGTCCGAGAACAGATTTATCGGTATGTTTTTTTGAAATAAAATTGAATGAACATTTATAGCGTTTCTATGCTGAATTTGATGTGCTCGAGAGTTTTTTTGACAAGGTTGGGTTAACTACTGAGGAATTATCTACAGGGCAAACTTATTCATCGACTTCTTTTCAAAATGATATTAATGCAAGTTGTGTGTTGGGCGGTCCTCTTTTAAATACTTTTATTCTCGCACAATCTCCTCGAAATCACACCATTTTTGACTTTTGGAAGATGGTTTGTTATTTATTAATTTTTTAAATTTTCCCAATTAAATCCGCACTTTCTAGATTTTTTTTTAAAATTCGTTTAAGGTTTGGCATGAGCGAAGTGAATATATTTTTATGTTATCAGAAGCAAGTGTTGTTCCGTTAGTTGAATGTAACACTCATTGCCCATTCTTTTGGCCAAGGTTCATGTTTCGCTTCAATACTTCTATTTTTATCATTTACATTTTGTAGACTTGAGGACGATGAGTTAAACTTCGGGTGTTTACACGTACGAAATGTTGGTATTGACATGGCTACAGACCCTCTTTTTACTATTTTCAATTTGGATATTTGGATGACAACGATGGAAGAAAATTTTCAACAGGGTGTAACGGCAAAATTACGTCTACAACTTTGGCAATGGAATTGGCGAAACTACACAGATTTTTACTGGCCTTTCCGATTACTTTTTCGGTTAACTTTTTTAATTTAATATCATTTTGAATGTTACTTTTTCCAGATCACGTAACTCTAAAAAACCGACAGTTTTGGTGTGTAATGATGGGTGTGGTAAATCTGGAACTTTAGCTTTAATTGAGGTCACCTTTGTTATAAATTTGTATTTTTTAAATTTAACAGATCTTTCTAATGCAACTTATTCGTGGTTCTGTTTCTGTTGAACATCCTATGCTGACGGCAGGCGTGTTCCTTCGCCTTCAGCGACGTCATGCTGTTGCTAACTCGATGCAGTGGTTGTTTGCTTATCGTACAGTTTTACATTGGCTCCAACCTTTTGTTATCTCATGGTAAGAATTTTTTAATAGATATTATATAATAGAGAGGAAGCGAAAACAATTTTTAACTTTTATTTTATAATTCTAAACCAATTGTATTTAATTAAATTTTCCGGTATCATCGCTTCGTCCTTGGTTTTACATTTCCTTCTCATGGATTTTGTGGAAAATATGAAGAGATTGCACATACTTATTCGCATAGGAAAAATTTGTCAGTTTAGGATTTTTTAAAGACTTAAACTTGTTTTTGAATTTTATATTAGATATCTTTTATTTCTTTGTTAATCATTTTTTGACTCACTATTAAAATATAAATTAAGAGTTAAACAGAGTATTTATTTGTAACTATTTTCAATTGACTTTTTATGGAATATAACTTTCAAATATTTTAGCAAGACCTTTGAAAGGTAAACTAAAACATTGTGTGGCAGTCTTATTAGTACCACAAAATTCTATGGGACGTGCCAAAATTATTAATGCGATTAAGAGCAATTTCTGTGCTTGTTTGTTGTCGACTCCTATATGCGGTTCCTTTTTTTAATTCCTTTATTCTTCGGGCAGTCGAATAAATTTTTTCTTATCCTTAAATGCAAACTACCTTAATTACTCAATTCGAAAGTGCTTGCATCACGTTCTCGACTGCTTTTTGTCTCCTCAAATTCTTGCCCATATTTATTAACAGCTAGCACCACTTTCCTCAATCTTCATTTTGTCTCATTTACTTCTCTTACTTTCGATGTTTGTTAGGCCCCCCAACTAACTCCTATTTGCACCTCTACGCTTTTGTGGTTGCTTCGGAGGCTGGCCTACTCACTTAGAGTTTCCTCTTTGGTCCTCAGTTTTTTTTCTTTTTACACATCTTATTTGTTACGCCCGTTTGTTGGTTGGGCCTCTTGGTTGGTTCCTCCGCTATTAGTTGGTTGGCTCCATTTTCATGCCCCTATTTCACATTTCTAACTTAAATATCTGCGCGTTGACAACAGTTTATGTTAAGGACCTTGGCATTTTAGTGGGCCAACCAAAAAGTATGTTAACTTTTTTATTTTTGTTTTTTGCTTTTAAATTCTCTCTTGTCTTGATTGATTCCCTTATTAATTCCAAAGCTTGGATCCTTGCTTTACCAACCGCTCTTAAAAATTGAAGAGCTAATGAGAACACAAACGAAAAGGCGATTAAACAACATTTTACTATAACGTTCCTTCCATTTATGTATGGACACATTAGCTTTAAGCAATCCATGTCTTTTATTTTCTTTATGGATGCTTGGGGATCAACAATTGTAAATTTCTGATTACAATTCTTGCGTCTTCATGATATCATTGTTCTGCTTTGGAATTTTATTCCATATTTTTTTTTTAATTTTTAATAACAATTTTTCTAAATTTTTAATAACAGAATTATGCAACAACATTTATTTAATTCACCTTCGTGTTCATCAATACAAAATAGAGCTTATCATGCTGAACCAACAGAAGAGACCGGTAATTAAAATTATCTTACTGTATTGAAATCTGGAAATTGAACAATTATTTTTTTTGAAGGTTATAATATGCAGACCCAAGTTGTTGATCTACAAATGCCACGACAAGCAGTCAAAGCAAATGAACAAAAAACTTGTGATGGTCGATGTTTTGCCGAACGTCGCGTTCATTGCAGGGAACTTGGTAAATGGGGGAAACCAACGCTTATGACAATTGTTGGTGGGTTTGAATTTTTTTAATTCCGAGTAAATTAATTGAAGCTTCTAAAATCATATGCTTCTCTTAGATTTATCTCTCTACTATTCCTTTTCGTTTATTTTTTTTAAACTTTTCTGACGGACATAATACCATTACCGCTTAACTTCTTTCTCGTTTCTCATGTTTTTTTGGTTTGTGTCTAAGGTTGTCAGAAAGATCATAGTTTTCGATTAGCTTTTTTAGAATGAAATAATTTAAAGGTTTATGCAAATATTATTAATTAATTCAGAAATCTTTTTTGAATTCTCCTTTGGACTAACTGCTAAACTTTATTTTTAACTATCTATTTAGAGTACATGCAGCCCTAAAAAGCCCAGATATCCTATTCACAAAATATATGTTCATACATATTTGTAAGATTCATTTCTTTATACGGTATTTATGCGTAACCAACTGAGATCTTTATTTTTATTCCCCAATCCCAAAAATAAATCTCTCTTTTCATCTCAAATATTTATTTAAAAGGCTGTTGACATTAGCATCCCAAAATCGTAATAAAGACAGCTTTTAATGATGGCGAACTTTCTTTTTATTTGGTAAAAATTTAGAAGCTAATGAAAATAAGTAAAATTGAGATGTATGGTTGCCCGGGGGATGTGTCCAATAAATTTTAAACATTTTCAAAAGTACAAAAAATTAATAAATTGGTATTGATTTATGTTTTTTCACTTTAAGCTTGAACCTTTGAAATCGTTTATATTTTGTTTTTGCTGTTATTTTTGACAAATTATCCCTACATTTGGCATCATTAATTTAGAAAGCATTTTCTGGCAAAAATATTTTCTAATAGTTGTTGGGGATTGGCTCATACACAAGCTTATAAACATATATTTTGGTGATTCTGTGGTTTCCATGGTGGTTGTCACGGCACCATTTAATGTTAGCATTTTGGTTAGTGGCCTATTTATTGTGTGTGACAGCGATCCCCATTCCCTAAATCTTTGTGAGTCTGGATGCTAATTTGTTTTAGGAAATAAGCAGGAATGGGAAAAAGGGGAAATTTATTAATTTGATGAAAATAATATAAAGTAAAAATAAGGAGAATGATAAATCTTAAGATTTTTGGGATGCTAATTATAAATTTTAATTAATTTTAACTTATGAAATTTACTCTCTTCTTCTCTTAAATACATATCTTTTGCTAAATTTATCTTTTATTCATTTTTATCTTTTTACTTATCTTCAATTTAAACATCCTTTATCTTCCTTACACTTTTTTGTCCAAAATTTTTCAATTGCTTTTTACACATTCACTACATATAGCGCATTCATATATAAACGGCATTTGCCTCAAGTGCAATCCTTTGGCACACTTAATTAATTTTTATGCCCGGGCTAAATTTGTGCTAAACACCGGCTTCCTAAGTGAGTCTCATTTTCATTTCACACTACGAATTGGCGCAAAAGTGTAGCGATGGAAACGTCAATGAAGAAGATGGGAAATGCAAGATTATTTTGAAGGGCGACAAAATACGCAGAAAATGCAAAACAAAATGAAAATTACTTTTTAGCTGGTTATTAATAAAATTTAAAAATTGTCCATGGCGCACATGCATAGATTAGTCATTAATATTTTTAATGTTAGTGCGCGGTAAATAACCTGCAATTTCTGCGGGAATATAATTGGGATGTAGAGGATACGATTTATTAAATAGTAAGAGAAGAGAAGTAGTTTTGGCAACCAATATAAACTATAAATTCGAACGTATAACAGCAACTATTTTAAAATCTCAGTTATCTAAAATCTAGGAAAATATTTAAATTTTACTCTAAAAGTATCAAATGAAAATGAAATTCATTGTGCCAAATGCTTAGATAAAATAAATAAATTGGTGTGAAGAGGGATACAAATGGCAAAGAGTGAATATAAGATGAGTTGGATTTGTGGAAAAGGGGAGAAATAATAAGGAAAACCACCCTTTGCCCGAATTAATTAGTAGTATGCAAGAGAACCTCTGCAACAGACATGGCTGTCTAAATGTGGCAATATTCTCGTCTTCTTTCAAATTTTTGAATAAAAATGGGACGAAAATGCTGGATATTTTGTTGGTTGATGGGAATTTTCTTTAATATATTTTCATTTTCCCTTTGTCATCCACTTTTCTTACTTCGTTTCATTTCACGCCTCGAGCTGTAAATACCCCATTTATTGCGCTCAAATTTCAAAGTAAAAATGCATCCGATAAGCATAACCCGATTTTTTTGTTAAACAGAATTTTAAATTTTTTGAGGTTTCTTAATGAGAATTTTAGAATTATTTACATTTTTATAAAAAAAATAATCTTCCTCTTTTTCTAAATTATTAATTAATTTATGTATATTTTTTATATTTATGTGAAAACTTTAATTCCTCTACCCTTTACATTAGCATTATTTTTAACCAACATTTTATTTCATTTCTTTGTTCTTTAGTAAAAATGTTGAGCGCTTCTCTTAGACAATCTAAAAAATTAAAGTCACACCTTTCGCCAGCCTAAAAACAAAGATTAATTTATTCAATAATTTGTTTTAAAATTTGTCTAAACTTAAAATTGTTTGGTTTCTTGTATAATGTTAAAATAAACGCAGAATGCCGCCCAGAGGTCTTTAATTTCGGGATTTAATATTTCTTTTGCTCCTCAATCCCTTTAGTCAGGATCTGGAGAAAGCTTTTGTAAATAATCTTTAAACCCTAAAATTTGAAATTATCCCAGGGCTCTCATTCGTGCTTTATTTGAAAGTATTATACTTTGAAACCGACCTCCATACTTAAGAAATTGAATTTATACTTTATTGAAAGTATATACTTTAAAATCAACATTTTGGATTGAAAATGAAATTGGGGAAGGGATTGGGCAAAAAAGTGAATTTTTTTAGCCTTGGGCCTTCGAAATTATCAAAATTTTCGCCTGCGGCGCTGAAAAAGAAAGAAATCTGGCTTCTTGGGCTCCAAATTTCAAAAAATTTTCGCCTGCGGCGCTGAAAATGGGAGAAATCTGACTACTTGGGCTCCAAATTTCAAAAAATTTTCGCCTGCGGCGCTGAAAATGGACGAAAGCTTGAGGTTAAGACTGTCAGGGCTTTATTTCTTGTATCAGCGAATTTTGACATGTCATGCGTTGAAATGCACAAAATGCCCAATGGAAGCAAGAAATTATTAGAAAAGATTCATTTAAGAGAGAAATATAAAAGATTTGAGCACGAACAAATATTTTCCAATTTAATTTTGAGTATACTTTAAATTTGGAAATTTTCTCCCTATATACTTTTTTATCAAGATTTTGATACTTTTGAGTGGCATTTTGTCGATGAGAGCCCTGAATTATCCTCTCTTCACTCATCTGATTTTCTAGGCAAATTTTTCTCATCTGTATTCTTTATCTTCTAACAAAATTTGAAATTCGTTGGCCAGGAAAATAGTAATTATTTATTTCGCTTTTATTCTTTTTATGTTTTCACCACAAACAGTCCCATCCTCATCCAACTTCCGTTGGGTACTAACCAAAGCGCGACTTCCTTGGCCATCATTTGGCCATGGCTAGAAAACTCTCATTTAAGTAATGTTTATTCTTTTTCCATCACCGCTCTATCAACGCTTCCTTTATTTTTTTATTTAATCCTTCAAACGCGCCCTATCCTTACCCGTCCTTTAACCTTTTTTCGCTCACTCAAAATAATTAGGATCATTTGCCAAATAAATTATGCATGTTTTTGGAAATAATTTTAAAATCCTACAATTAGAAATAGCCATTCTAAATTTTTCAATTTTTTAAAATTATAATAAAAAATATTTTGAAAAAATGCTCTCACACAAACGCTTTCCATTTATGTTATAGAGAATGAGGGTTGGGCGTCTTTTAGTTTGTGAGGATTGGCCCGGGCTAAATTTTTATATACTGTAGTTAAATGTGGAATTAGCAAACAATTTTTCGTTCAATTGTTATTTTTCTTTTGTTATATCTTTAATTTTAAAAATTAAATTAGTTCTTTTTAATATCATGTTAACCAAAAAAACAGCCATTTTCTTTGAAATCAACTATATTTTTTAAAATTAATTTTAATAAATAATTTAAAAAAGATTAACTTAAAATTGCTATTTTAGGTCTTGAAAATGTATTTCAACGTGCGCTTGGACCACTTCAATGGCGCAAATACTGCAAAGCTGTTAAAGGTGGGTGGGTTTTATTTTTGTGTTTCATTTTTTTCCGGAACTTTTTTTAAAAATTTGATGTGAAGAGATATATTTATTAAAAAAATAGCGAGAGTAAAACTGCTTAGGGCTATTTTTATATTGAGCAATATGAAAAATAACTAAGCACGCTTCATTGAAATAATATTTAAGTTTTATTAGCGATGGTGGCCAATTTTTATTAGTGGTGGCCGTTCTGGCTGTATAAATAATTTTTCTTCCCTTTGTCCATATAATATGTTGGGTGGTCCATCTGTCTTTTATTTTTTGATTATCCTGATTTTATAATCTTTCT